GGTATTTTCACTCTGACTTCTATTTATTATTTTCTGGTTATAGAGAGCTGAGATTAGAAAGCAAAGGCGGCAAACATTTAGTGGTTTCGCAGTCAAAGAGGAGATCACTTGTGGTGATGCTCAAAACAGATCCAGTACTTTACTGTCTCGAAAATCATTTTCTCCTGAAGACGCAAATTCAAGCTCCCTTTCAGCTCACAAGAAAGGAGTCTTTAAAACTGTGACATTTAAGGATGTTGTAGAAACTCATCAGCAACTACTTTGTGAGAGGAAATCAAAGAGTAAAAATGGGATAGTCGTAGTTTCCCATGAAACGTCCAAACAAAGATCTGCACCAGTGGAATCCTGCAAACCAGATGACAATGACAATAAAATAATACAAATTGGTGTAGGAAGCAATAATGTACTTGGCTATGAAACAGATAATCAGTGGGTTGCATTGTCCAGTGATGATAATGCATTGCATGACAATGCAGCACTGCCTGAAAACAGTAGAGTCGCATCAGAGCACAAAGATTTTTCCAAGAGCAAAGATAACCAAGGCCACACTTTGAGAACTGCTGCTTGTTCTGGCCTAAACAAAGATGTTGTACAAATTCCTTTAGGGAATAATGAAAACAGTAAATCAGTTAAAGATATTTCTTTTGCTAATAATGGAAAAGTTTCTGAAGTAGTTGAATCTCTAAGTATAGGAACTGTAACAGTTGTGAATTCAGAGTCCATTAACAATGAAGTCATACAGAAATGTTTACCTAAAGTAGAAGCTTCTGGAAAAGCCACAGAGGCACCTGAAAAGAAAGATACTTTTCACTTCTCCTCGGTTTGTGAAAGTGTCAATTCATCTCCAGAAAACAGGCACTGGATGCATCTGTTTGAAGAAGAATTTCCAAGAAGATCTCGAAGGCTGCAGTCCACTCCAAGCTTTGGAAAGCAATCAGTTATTTCTGAGGGTTGTAATTATATACAATCAAAGAACACAAAATCAAACAGATCAAAACACTGTAGACAAAGGAAAGTAACCACTTTGCAAAACAAAACTAAGACTGCAAAATGCAGCGCAGAACATACTTCAGTAACTTTGAATGATAATTTACATGAATGTATACCCAAAGATTTTGTTTTCCCAAGACCTAACTTAGATGAAGCAAAACCTGGTGGTCCTTTGGGAATTGTTGTAGACTTTTCTTTGCCTGATAAAGAGTTTGCGAAGTTGAAACTTGCCAAGATCAAAGGTGCTTTGCCAGCTGAGAGGATCAATAGAGACGTAAATGACAAAATCACAGAAAAAGTGAAAGAACACGACACTGTGCTAAAGAGAGAGAAGGATTTACCTGAGTTGAATGAACAGGTACAAGAAAGCTGTGCTAACAAATTGATCAATCCATTAGAAGGTTGTTCAATGCAGTTTGATAGTACAATTAAACCTGATAAAGTGGAAACTGTCACTATTCTAGACACCTCAGAAGGAAAGAACATCAATCAAGTGCCACAATTCATTTCCAAATCAGGAAACTTAGAGAGTGAAAGAAATTCAGAGGGCAGTGTAAATCAGTTCTTGTCAAGTCCAAAACACAAATGTGATCTTCAGTTCAAACATGGGCCAATGAAAAATAGTGAAGTTGACTTCTCTACAAGGGGAGCATCACAAGAAAATCCTAGGACAGTTGTACAGCCTTGTGTGCCTCATCAGGTAGATGAAAATTCAGTCTGTGTAAGGAACATTGTTGATGAAACAAGCAGTGTTGCACACTCAGCTCATGATGGTGTTGATGAAAAAACTGATTTTGCTTTTGACAGCTGTGATAAAAGCAAAAAAGAAGATAATAACAGAGCCTTAGACTTTAATGGTGGTGCATCTGATAAAAAATTTCTACTTCAATACGGTCATGCAGGACCAGAATCAAGTAAAGAAATTTCCACTGATGTGCAGCCAAATTGTGCTTCCAACTGTCCAGAAAAGTGTGGTCTGAAGGAAACCAGTGCTGGAAAAATGTTGCTTGAAGCTAATATGGTCATTCATAAAAGCCGAGGAGTTTTACTTAGTTCTGAAGAACAAATATTAGGTTCATCTTATCCTGAACCTGGTGTTGGTGAACAAGCTACACCTCATGGAAAAATGACTGAGCCTGTAGAGAGCTCACAGATATCCTGCATGACTCCACCTGAGGATCAATCAGAACTGACTCCCATGCTGATGATGGCCTGCTTGCAGGTACATATTGCATGATTGTAGCTAAGAAATTTCACTGAAATTTTGAGTGAGGAGGCTTTTAAAGGGGGTGATTGATTTTGTGTAACCTCAGAAGTGCCTGTTGTGCTTTACCAAGCCAGCCAAACATCCAGCCAGGGATTGCCCCTTTTTCATCTGGTGAATTTTACCAGCAGCCAGCGCTTAAAGCCAACCCTGATATTGCTTCTAATTACATGTATTTGTCAACCCCTATAATCTAGTCTGTAATTCTCTTTTATTCCTTTTTTCCTTCTACACTCTTTCTAGTTAATTATTAAGGAGAATTTAATAACACCTTCTAGTTGATAAATTTGTTCATTCTCATGACCTTTTTTTTTCTGGTTAATGAAGATTGACCGGGAATTTGAAACTTGGCAGGTTGGGAGATTATTTGAACTTAATGTCTCATCCTTGATGGGATTTGTAGTGTTTGTTCCTTTTATTAACTATAACCAGTACTAAATTATGTTACATCTGTTTTGGCCTAGCATCACATGGAGGGTGAAAGCAATGTTATCAGGTCTGTTTCTCTGTCATCTTATGAGCCAGTAAGCGAGAAAGATGAAACAGTAACAAAGATGAAGAGAGATGTATTGGCAGTTTGTCTTGCTCATTTAGTGGTTATCTGGACAGTTGCACCAGGATTACAATGGACTGTACTTCACAAATGGAGTCTTCCTTCTGTAAGAGAACATTACTTAAGTTTGTCTAATTTTAAGTGGTACTTTGTCATCAGATCTACAGTACATGTATACATGTTTGATTTATCATCTTATTGGTTTATGTTGGACTAATTTGATGACCTGCTCCCAGTTGGCTTGTTAGCTCAATCGGTAGAGCGCTGCACTAGTATCACAGAGGTCAGTGATTCAGATCCTGTACAGGCCTGAATTTTTTCAGGTCTGATTTTCAGTATTAGATAGTGCTCTTGACTGCAAGGATCATGCACAAATATCCTTCTATAACCACAGTTCAGATACATGAATTTCATATAATCGTTGTGTTTGATTTATCATCTTATGGGTTTATGTCGGACTAATTTGTTGACCTGCTCCCAGTTGGCTTGTTAGCTCAATTGGTAGAGCGCTGCGCAAGTATCGCAGAGGTCAGTGGTTGGAATACCGTACAGGCCTGAATTTTTTCAGGTGTGATTTTCACTAGTGCTTTTAATAGTGCTCTTTACTGCGAGGATCATGCACAAATACGCTTCTATAACTGCAGTTCAGATATTTGAATTTCATATAATTGTTGAGTACATGAATTATTAGGTAATGCAATTTTCTTTTTATGACAAAGTGGTGAGAGAAATGAGGTTGTAAAAGAAAGGAAGGATTTTCTGCTTGTTGTTACAATTAGAGGCAAGAAATAAGAGGCTCTCGCATATGGGATAGGTCGCTGGGTTTGAACAAGATATCAGGGTTTTTTGGTAATACTTTGTGACTGTATGCATTTCTTGTCATATGAAGAAACAGCTTATTTATCCAAGCAGCAATTGCTTTGAACAATTTCAGTCAATTAGGTATTGCCTGTGTACAGATGTGCTGATTTGAAGTGTGCAATTAAAATCCTGTTTCACCTAGTGTGACAGACAAATGACTTTCAGTCTATAAGAATTGATAGCTAACATTCTAACAAGTTTAGAATAATAAGCTCTTATTATTCTAAACTTTGTAATTGTCTTATAGGGTGGTGGACAAGAGTTTGCAAGTGTTGAAATTGTGCCAATGAATTCTCATGTTGTCCTTCTGGTTGGAGGAAATTTCTGTGGAAGCAATGGAAGGTGAGGAAAACTACAAAATTAATAGAAACAAAGTTTAATTAAAGCCAATAATGGCTAAATGGTAGGACAAGCATGAACTTCAGGTTACCACAGAGATATATTTGTCTCTGCTCTCTCAGTTTGGGATACTTCTGGCAAGTGCTAGTTATCTCTCAACTACACCTGTTGGCAGCAATGATAGCAATAGGTTATTTGTCAGCCCATCTGGTTAAGGCCCTATTATGGAGAAGGTCATTTCTCACCATTGTGATAGTAATGATGTTTACTTTCGATACTGATAGTGCCATAAATGGAACTGAAACTTGTGAAAACTACCTCCAGGTGTCCATTTACTGATTGTCCCCACTGTGAAGTGTACATTTCTGATATTTTTTTAGCTGTGAGAATCAAATATTAAATCAAACAACGTCCTGTTACAATAGTTACATTTTTTTTCTTTCTCTCCATCATCTTTCTGTGTAAAAATGTGTGGATATGTATTGGAGAAGATCCAATTTCATTGTTCTTGACAATGGAACAGTCATCGACTAAGCTATCGGTAATGCATATATCTTATTAACCAAGCGCGAGGGCCATACTGGGAGAATATTGGCCTGAGGTCTTGACAGTACTGACCGAGGGCAGTGAGGTCCGTACAAAAAAGAGCGAGGGCCGATGTTCTTCCAGTACTGTCCAGAGCAAGCTTGGTTAATAAGAGATTTATTATACAACTGAAGTTCAAAGGGACACAAGTGCGGTATTATTCGGGACCATTCGGGACAGTGCCCGGTCCAATACTGAGAGAATATTGACCGGCAATAGAGTATTTTGATTGGTTGATTTTAGTTATTGGCCCTCTGACCGCCCAAGTCGTTTAATAAAATACTAAATTGCATGAACAGTATTGTTTAAGTGTGTTTCTTTGCAGGATTCTTGGTTATTCAGATGAGGGTGACTATTCTTTGGATTTAAACGGTGATGATGCCTTGTAAGTAACTTCATGACAGGCAAATAACATGAAATCAAAGGAAAGACAGCAAGCAAAATCACATGCATTGTTTTATGGGGATGGAGTAGGATTCACGCTTTAATTAAATGATAGTGGTCATAAAATACTCAGAAGGACCTCCTTTCCCAACAGATTTCCATAGGCCTTTATTTATTTTCAGACTTAGCTGTATTATGTATCTGTATTCCATTCAAGTTGTTTAATAAGTCTAACTCTAAAAGATATCAATGAGGGTATAGCCTTCAATGGTTGTCAATTCAGTCACAGATGCCCTAAAATGTAACCCCTACACATGAGTGGTATGATGGTTAACCTCTCTCTTTTTACATTTAGAAGTCTTTCTGGCCCCTGGAAGAGAAAGATTGGGGGGTTGTGGGAAAAGAGTGGAAAAGAATAAGAGGAATACTAATAACAGTATTTTCTCTTGTACGTTTTATGAGAGTACCTAGTCAGCTTTTATTTTCCATAGGTATGTAATTCAGTTGCATTTCAATATTCTAGGAACAGCAACCATTTATTTTCAACAATGTGCCTTTTGAATGATTTTTCGGGAAAGACAAACGTTGAATTTGTGATTGGAAACAGGACACCTCATGGAACAGCTTTGACAAAGTGGACCCTGGATAGTTTTGGCCTGTGAGTACATGTAACTTGATGTCTTCTTCTATTAAGAATGTGACAGCAATCTCACAAAAACTATAGTTTATCTGTTAAAATAACACCTTTGTCAGTAAAAATAGTTGAAGCTGATTGTGGCATACTTTGGCATAAATGCAGAGCATCCAAGAGAACTTATTGTTATAACAATTAAAGTAGATAGAATGGGTGCAAAGATGTAGGGTATGAAAAGAGCAAAAAAACTAAATAAATTACGGTCAGATTATGTAAAACTTACTTTGTGATCTACATTAAGATAAAATTTACAAAATTAGGTAACATTTGCCACATTATATTTTTTCCTGCCATGCTACTATTAATCAGTGTAACTGAAGCCATGTTCCAAGTTATGTTATTTCAAGGGAAGGGGACATCAACTTCAGCCCAGACTCTTCTCTTGGTCATTCAAAGCATGGCCATTATTTGGGCTTACTGGCCTCTGATTAGTAAGGCCAATAGCTGGATGAATGCAGTCTCTGTTGAAGAAGCTTCTTGGAAATATCTACTTTTTAATTTACCTATTCATGAATTACTATGGGGACGAATCAAACAAAACATGGAAAGTAACCCTTGTACTGTTTGGCTTTCTTTTATATGGTTTTCCTTTTTTGTTTTATCAAGGGTAGTGGAACAGAAACAGTGTTTTACTCCAATAGTCGCTGAAAGTGACTTGACATCCATTCAAACTGTCCTTGGTAGTCACTGCCTTCTTTTGGGAACCACAAATGATGAACTTTTTTTGTGGTAAGCTATTGCTGTCATCGTCAGGATTTTAAACACTACCAAAAATATCACTATCCATAAAATCTCTGTCACTAATTCAAAAAAATTCCTCTGACAGCCAAATTGCACTCAGCCTACGGCCTAGTCCAGTTTTGGCTGTCCTCAGAACTTTTTTCATCCAATTATTTCCAAATTGGACAGCATGCAGTCCTATTACACAGACAAACCTTAGTGTGTTGCGCCACTCATGAGGCATGATTAGTATTATCACCGCGTAACTAGCGCAACTTTTGAAGATGTCAAACCTCTTGCGTATAGGGGAGAATGGGTTCACGAGAAGCAATTGAGACTGTTTTGAAGAGAATCAGCTGCACAGCACAAATGCCATAAATTCTTTACTTATTTTATTGACACCAGGACAGTTTTAGTCTATTTTTCTCTCTATAAACAAGCAAACCTGCAAGTTTTGCATAAATGTTAAAAACGATTAATTGACCGTCACCTTTCTTTGTCGTTTTCTTCACTTCTTCATGGTTAGTGTTACTTGAAAATTTAATCTGGATTTACTCTATTCACTATAGAAGCTACACCAAAAAAAAAAAAGAGTTTAATGAATGACGAGACCACTTTAAAACCTTAATAATTACTCTCTAAAGTTATTTCTCGTTTTCCTGAAGTCGTGCTACATTGTTTTGTCATACTGTTCCCATCACTTGCGTTTCATGTCACATGGGTTTTTTTGTTTTGTTTTGTTTTGTTTTGTTTTTTGTAAACGTATGGCTCCACTGAGCTTGTTAGTATCTCGTAGAACATCTTTGACAACCTGAGGTTCCATCACGATTTAAAGAACCGATCTTGCTCAATACATCTCGGCAAAAGTTTGCTCTTTTACTCGGATTATCATACCGGTCCATTCCAATTCTGATGGCAACCTGGTCCCTGGCGTCGTCGATGCCACCCTTTTGTACGGTGTTAGCAGCAAACAGCAGCACCCAGCGTCGAATGCTGGCAGCGCGGCCGACGTAGCCGTAGTGGATGTTCCCTGGTACATCGTAATTCACGCATCGTCCACACAAGGTCACAGTTTTTGGGCAGCGATAGGGACATGATCCTCGTCTGAATGTCTGCGTGCATTTGTAATCCCAGGGCTTGCAGTTAGCGACCAGGTTGGCGAACTGAATTAGACACCTGGGCCAGAGAAGAGTGTTGTACCAGCTACGGCAACTTCTGATGGCTCTGTTGTTTTTATTTCGGTTCATTTGCCTAATAAGCCAGGATGTTACGTCTGGTCCACATCTGTCGCGAAAAAAAAAATTGATTTTCATGAAACATTTCTAGCTTTGGCCTACAATTTATTCTCGCAAGTAAACGAGGGTAAGGTCCCTCGCCTTAACATAAGTAGTGCCTTAACTTTTCTGCTTTGAGGATGAAACAATTTGAATTTTCAAATTTTGAATAGCTGATCGTCTCACCTTCGACTTCTTCGATGCCTTGGATCTTCATTGACAATGTCCGGATCGGGGTAAGGATCCTCCAACCTAGCATAACTTCCATCCTCTTGAGGAAGGTCCAGCTCTTGAATGTCTATAAATGTTGGAATGGTGTTAGCAGAACACGGCTTTCCGAACCAGGTGTTGGTGGCATTTGAACCCTATAGTGATAAGGGCGATGAGGGCTAAAATCTCATTGTCCCAGCCTTAGTATTGTTGAACATTTTTTTTTACCCGCATTAATTTTCGCCAAAAAGGAGGGACTGCTCTTACTCTGGGTTTGTTTGAGATCATACTCAAATTTGCTTCGATTGCTTTTTTTTTTTCTGTGGTTTCTATCGAGTGCCGCTGCCTTTTTGAAATGCTACATTTGAAATGGACCAACTCCGATTTCATGCTATCCATTTAGGCCACCCAGCCTTTCTGGGTAACAAGGGAAGGTTGAAAACTTAACTATAGGTTCACAATCCGGCTTGAAAACTAACTTTCAGAAGCAAAAGAAAAATACTTTAGTTCCGACCAAATATCTCGGTTTCCTTTCTCCAGTTTATGTTGTGCAAGAATCGGTGCATTTCCAGAAGGGTTATAGCTAAACATTCTCCAGTAGCGGAACTGAACTATTGTTAATCTTCAGCGTCTTCGACTACTAGTTGTTCCTTTCACTTAATTTGTTTTTCAATGTTAGTTATGAAAACAAATCTTTCCTATATAGAATATAAGTGGTTTTACTAATCATCGAATTTATAGAATGCATCCAAAATAAGAATTACCTTCCTCCGAGGAACCGAGGTCATTTGTCACCAGAATGATAAACATCAGCAGCAGCATAGATACCGAACGACTTTTCGACATCATTTTCAAGTCGGTCGTGTTCTTATGTTTGTTAAGAATAGCAAACACACTAGGGAATGAGGGGTTTCGGCCTTATATAAGGTTTAAGTAAGTGCATCCTGTGTCAGTATTACTTATCGATATTACCTGTGCTGAAACGATCTGAAATAGCGATACAATAAGGTACTTACTTGATCTATTCTAAGCCTGTCCTCTGAAGTAGTTTAGTTTAATATTTATATTTTAAGTGATCTCTGTGGTGTTGCGAGACTAATTGCTTTTATGGCACAAAATATATCCATGTATCAAGTAACAGATGTTGCTATCACCCCTGCTACTGAAACAGATGATAAAAATATATGTGAAATGCTGCTACTTTTTTTTCTTGAGGGGGGGAGAAGGCATCGGCGAAACATTTAAAGTGGGTGTGAAGGTAGCACTGTCTCATAGATCTGATAACTTATGAAAGTTGTTTTTAATCAAGGATGCGTCAAAATTATATTTAAAACGTCTCAGCTAAATATGTATTGTTTATAGCTACCTACAGATGCTTCAAGTGGTTTTGAAGTATAGCAGAGCATAACTTGTCACGGCTCATTCTAGCCATTTTAAGTATTACGTATCAGAGGGAAAAAAAGACCTTTCTTTCAATAACTTGACATCAGAGAGGCTCATTTCATTAAGGGAAAATGAAAGGAATCGATAGATTTGTTCTAGTACTTGATCTCCTTGGTATTCGAGTTATATTACTCCCTTTTTTGATGAGATGCGCTCGTTAACACTGCACACAAAAGTGTCACGATCATGCTGAATCATGAGAAGCCACCAATCATTTTACCTTTAGTCTTTTCACCGTTAAAGTCATATGATCTCTACTCTCACTTTGTAATCATGGGGTATCTATGTTTGTCGTGTTATTAGTTAGAGAATTGTATGGGAAGTTATTTTGCTTGCATGACCTCAGAAAACATTGGAAACGGTCACTGAACACCGCGGTATAAACCGCAACACTCCGGTTTATACCGCCCCTCTGCTATTTTTATCTTACTTTCTGATATCGTAATAACCCTTTCGTTGAGGAGCTATTTAAGGGTGGATGTTAAAAGGCTACAATGCCGCTATTGAAATCGTCCACTTCAATTTAATCGTTGGACTGAATAGATAGATAATGGAGAGATAATTTTTAGAAAGCAGTACAATGATCTGCTCTCTCAATAGTTTACATAGTATCGCTTTGTACCCAATTTATGTTGTTTTCTGAAATTATTACCTTGAAAACACTCCTGTTGAAACGATCTGAAACAATAATGCATGATCTGTATCCTTTCAAACTGAATTGTCACATACGCAAAGCAACTGATCGCTAAGTTAGATTTGATAAACATTTTTTGTGGTTGGTTTACAGCAGTTGTAGTCTGCCATTACGTACATTACGAATAAAAATTTAGAGAGTTACCCTGAGGTTGATGTTACTGACACCGCAACACTTAACCGTGTACCTTCTTCTGAATGATATTTGCTTCGGTATGTTCCTTTGCTAAGCAAACTGGAAAAACTGTGTTACGCATTGCTGCCAAACAAATGTTGTAAAAGCATGCCGAGTGGGCATAAACTTCAGAGATACACTGTTTATTCAACTTTATAATTTTAACTTGTCTCTTCAAAAGGGGAAATTATTTCTTAGTCACACCAAATGAAAATATGGCGACTAATTTGAGTTGCCATTGTTTCTGACTCACTAGCCTCTCACGCATGTAATAATCCTTTTGTGTTTCTACGTGAAGACGAGGCTAGTGAGTCTAGAACAATCTTAATTCAAATTGGACGCCATATTTGCAGCCAATTTCTCCTCACAATATGAAGGTTGTTAGAATAAAGGAAATGATTACTAACTAAAGAAGCTCTTGATTGTTAAAAAAATTCTTCTTGTCAGCACTTTAAGAAATGTATAGAGAACAGTATGGAGAATATGCATACTGATGTTAGGGTGTATTGCGTTAGGATGATACTCCGCATAATGATTGATTGGGTTTATAGTGTTGTCATGTGGCACTGTCCAAAACTATCCCTGATATCAACAGACACAAAAAACTGCAGACACATAATACAAATGTTTTTCTGGGATCATTTTTCATCGACAAGGAGTCTTTTAAGTTTATTGATATTTAAGCAACAAGAGTACACGCGAACCTCCAGTAACGGCCACCTCTCCCTAACAGCCACATTTTTGGTCCTGGCAAGCTGTCCATACGTTCACCCCTACCTTCTCATACCGGCCACCTCTCGACAACGGCCACTTTCTTCTGTCCTCAAGGTGACCGCTGTGGAGAGGTTCAACTGTATTAAGTTTATGATCTTTTGGTTGGCTTGCTTGTCCTGGTCTCCAATAAAATTTAGTCATAACACCGCAACATGCTCGAAATATTCATGTTTTTCTGATTTTTCACTGTAAACTTGTCTATTAAAAATGCCGTAACTGTGGTTTTCGTCCTTGATTTCAGGAATCACAAGACATGCCAGCAGTTACGAACTATAAGTCTCCGTACTCAAGGTCTTGGTCATTTGTTCTGTCTCAAAGCGTCCACTGAAAGGGTAAGACCTAATAGTTTGGCTTCAGTTAGGCTGGACCTTATAATACCCTTTATTACACGACTCGGGCAGTCAGAGGGCCAATAACTAAAATCGACCGATCAAAATGCTCTATTGCCGGTCAATATTCTCTCAGTATTGGAACGGGCACTGTCCCGAATGGTCCCGAATGATACCGCACTTGTGTCCCTTTGAACTTCAGTCGTATAATAAATCTCTTATTAACCAAGCTTGCTCGGGACCGTACTGGAAGAATATCGGCCCTCGGTCTTTTTTGTACGGACCTCGCTGCGCTCGGTCCGTACTGTCAAGACCTCGGGCCGATATTCTCCCAGAACGGCCCTCGCGCTTGGTTAATGAGATATAATAATGCCCGGCAGAAGAGATTGACATTTAACTTCTCCGTACAATATAATCCATTATTATACCTTGTAGTCACCATCTGTCTTCTCATTGGCTAAACGCCCATAGTTAATTCTGGGAAACAGTGCAACCAACAGATTATTCACTAACCTACACCTACAGATTAGTGAATACTCTGTAGGTTGCGCGCGCAATGCATGATTTCTGGTGGAGCAATGTCAAGTTCACGGACAGCGAAGTTAGAATGGCTTCTCGATTCGCTTCATCGACCCAGCGAGAAATTTAGAAATTACTTGAAGATAGAGATTCGGAAAATACTAAAAGATCGACCAAAGTGGCGAAGGAACTGTTCTACGAATACCTCAAAGAGAAAAATATCCAGAAGCCTCACGACAAAAAGTAATTAGCCTAAGTGTAAATTTGTTTACCACGCAGTTGTACATTTTTAAGTGTTCGAAAATAAACTGTGTACGCTGCGATAATAGCGTTTGGCGTTATTTTCTTTATAACAATGTATAATAAAACAATATTTGAATGAGGTTTTTGTGATATCCGGAATAATCAAGGTGTTGGTTAGTGTTATCAGCACTTACCTCGACCTTGATTATTCCGGATATCACAAAAACCTCATCCAATGAATGTTTATTATCAAGCAAGTAAGTGGTGAGAAGAGACAACTTATCAGCTAGACGCAACCTCGTTCCTAGGGTCTCTCATTTTCCCGTCCCCCTGGAGCGAGATAAGGGTGGGAAGATGAGAGAGAGGGTGGGAACGAGGTTGATGTTGACGCAGAAGTCCTGCCTAACGTTGTTATCTTGATAAAGCAAACAATTCTTTTCACTCATTTAGACAAAGATGTATGGTAACTAGAAGGGAGAATTTCAAACTGAATTTTAGAAGAAAAAAAAAATCAGAGGCTTAAAGATGATACGTCGCGGCTCGATTCAGGATCATAACAAAGTTTTTAAGAGCTCTGAGCCTAAAGGCTTGTCTCCTTTTTTTTAGGGGCTCATTTTTCTTATGATGGCCAATCGATCAGGAAAGGTATTGTTATAAAATTGTTTTTAATCTTAAGCACTCCTCTAACCTTTTACGAGGTTTTCATTTCATTTCCCGGAAGAAAAGATAGAAAATACGGACTTTTTGACACTTCAAAGGCGACCGATAAGAGAACGCTTCTTTTCTTACTTTAACCCCCACTGACCAATCACATTTAAAACTCTCGTTTTGCCATAAAAGAAATCAGTGCGAATTTTGAGTGATTGTCGTAGAAACGTATAAATAATACTAATTTAATCACAATGATGATGTGCTGCTCTCTCGAAAACGCCTCATTAAAATTTTAACTTGCAAACAATCGTCGGGGGCTTTGTAACGAACTCTTGGAGAAAGGACTGATATGTCACTGGCACATGCCAAAGCTGGGAGACCTATTGTCATTACCATTCAGATCGGTGATAATCTTTTGCACTTTTCAGGAAATTCAATGTGAAGAAAGAAATTGTTCCTTTTTGTCACTTGCTTTGAATCCAAAAACATCCAAAATGGTATGCCTGGAGAGCATTTTTCCAGTAGAGGGGTAAGTATTGTATAGATGATCTTTAAAATGATGTAGAGTCCATGATTAATTTCTATCAAAACGAAATCAAGTGAATTAAAATAATCTCAACAATCAATCTGAACAAACCAAAATATCCCCAGGACTGGAGACTAGACCAAATACATGCAAACTGCTTGAAGCGCAGAAAGAAACGCAAGTGTCAAGTTGGGTCTGTCTCGCTTAAAAATTTATTAAGGTGGTACGACTTTTTGTAACGTTACGGAATGAAAAAAAGCAAGTGCACTTCAATTCTGGAATAATCTCGACACTCAATTTAAATGTGGCCAGAATTTTATTTTGAGATCCTCAAATTGATTCTGACATGAAGTTGGTTCCATCACAATCTTGCGTTTTTCCCGCGCTATGTACTTACCTCTTGATTGGCTGTTTTGACGAGTTTCTTTATTGACTTCACGACATACGGCTGGAAAGACCAATGATCAGATGGTGCATGCTTAATCTTTTTTAAGACCTAACAGCCTGTGCAAATTTTAATCTCATCAAGGTTCCACGCGATAGGCACCAACGGTCAGTATATCGCCACAGGATGTCAGGTCATAGGTGAGGTGAACCTGTGGAACATCACCAACAGTCGAAGGCTTGCTTCTATGCAAGTGTTTCAAGGTATGAAAACCGTACGATATTATGTATTCTCGAAACTCAGTGTAGCAGCTCTCTTGTAATCGTGGCGATGTCACAGCGGATTTAGACCCCACGTCCAAATCCGTTAACGAAGCTGGACCCCGGCATTTCGCGGATTTGGACCCCCCTAAAAAATTTATGCCTCTTAGTTTCCTATCCGTAATTGATCTTTCATATGTAGTAATGCAGTCTCTCTTTAAAGAGTTGCAGCTGCATGGTAATCAAACAATTAAACGTTTACTTCAGTTTTTAACGAATTTTTTACTTCGTAGAATGATGCTTACAAGCAAAGAACCAAACAGCAGCACCAAAAACTTTGCTAAATTCGACAATATTCGTTGATCACACAAAAAATCCTTCAATGAAAAATTGTGCATGGGTGGGGCATTTGAACGCAATATTTGCCCGGAAGGGGAGGGCGGGAATTTGAAGGAACCAATCTTCACAATTTCAAATGCCCGTGTGTGGGGGGCGGTGCACAGGGAGGATGTTGAAACTTCGAAATGATCGACGCGAAATTCTAACAGAAAATATAAATTTACTTTTTAATGGACATCATCCTCGGCGTTGCCGTCTTGACCCCTTAACGTTCCCAACCACAACATCGTCGCCGTCGTCGTCATAGCTCCATGATCGTTCTCGTTGATCATGAACATTTTCATAACCATGCTGTATTTATCATTCTTATATTTTCCAGATAAAGTGAGCTGTATCGGATTTCATGAAAGCCGGCCTGTTGTAGCCTTTGGTAGTGCTAGTGGCTGTGTTCATTTGTTCTCTCTATGTTGAAGACAGGTTTGCTACCCCTCTGAAAATTTCGAAAAAACTGAATGAAATTGAACAATAGATTTGTCCAAGGAAGTTTTATTGGGTAATAAAATATTGGTCCTCGTAACACTCTTCTTTTTGGTCATTGTTTACTTCTACCAAATCAACATACGTTTATTAGAAGAGGGACATCTGGACAGGGGGGGGGGGGGGGGGGTTCTGAATACCACAACACCGCAAACAAAACAGAAGAAACACCGTACCACCGCGAGAAATATTATCAACGCACCAATACCGCTATATAAACTAGGTCATCTAAAAGATAGTGCTGCGGCACAAACTGTTCATAGTGACATAGTTTACGCAGTGATTCATCTAACTGCGCGTTCCAAGACTTACATTAACCTTTATAATTTGGATATATCAACAAAGTTGAAGTGGTAAATTGGCCACCGTAACGATTCCAAAAGCTGACGTTTCGAGCGTTAGCCCTTCGTCAAAGCGAAAGACGAAGGGCTCCGACGCGAAAGGGCCCCGACGTTTATTAGAAGAGGGATATNGTGGTTCAAAACTGCAAAGATTGTCAGGGAAAAATGAACTGAATGAATGGTTTAAAAGAAGAAATGCCCCAGGATGGCTGTGGCTTGTTTCTCAAATGTTATTACAGGTTTAATTAACTGGAAACAGGACGTAGTGTCGTCAGAATCTCTATCGACGTACGATCTTCCCTTCATCACAACATCCTAGACCGTCAGACACTTCCAAAAGACCCCATTGTGACCTCTTGTCATTCTGTAGAGTTAGGCCATTCTAGTTCACTTAAAATGAAATAAAACTACTAGCGCTCCATCATAGATGCTGCCGTGATGGGGTTGGTTCGGCTAATCGCTACCTATCACGTGTTATAGTTCACCACTAAATTTTCTCCGATTCTTATTGGTTTAAATCGATCACGTGACGCGATAGTGTTCATCCGTGGAGAGACACTATCAGCCCATAGTGCCCGTCGGCGGAAAATACCCGGATGGATAGTGCTCGTCCGCGAAAAACACACGGATGGATTGTACTCATCCGTTAAAATTTTTGAATGGTTTGACGGCCGCGAAGTTAGGCAGATCGGAAAAAGAGTGACTTTTCAATTCTGGCTGCGAGTTATTGACATTTGTGACAGGCTGTACGCATGAATAAGTATTTGATTGATCTGCAAATCGGTGGGTTTTGACTGTTTTTCAACTGGCGCGTGGAAGAAAATTTAGTAGTGAACAATAAAAACAATAGAGTGTTTATGTCTCGGAACTATCGGTCCGATAGTTTCCCCTTGGAAATTTGATGTTCTCAAAACTAGCATATTTTCCCTCGAAGCTTCGCTTCTCGGGCAAATATTTGTTTTAAGAACATCAAATTGCCGCGGGGCAACTATCAACCGATAGTTCCTCGACAGAAACACTCTATTGTTTAAATAGATAGTAAGTGAAGTAAGTAGCCGCCCAAAACAGAGTAACAAACTCAAAACATAAGCCTGTCTTGTTGTTTAGTAGTTTGAACGATCAGTAGACTTTGTTATAAAAAAAACAAAAACAAAAACGAAAACAAAAAAAAACAAAAAACAAAAAACAAAAAAAAACAATTAGATCATTCGCTTTAGAATTCTTTCCCAGATAGTCGAGAGCCAAAAAATTCGGGCTCGGAATCTCATTCTTGATTACCACTTGATGCAATGCCTTCCTTCCTCAACCAATCGAGCTCGAACATCAAATCATCGCGATAGCCTTGTGCGCAGACCTTCCATGATCAAGCGGCTATTTTAAAGTCTCTCTTCCACATGTTCCTAAAACTAATGTCCAAAGTCCAAAATAACCCACCAGTGTCCAAAATGAGAAAGCGGCCACTAGTGTCCAAAATCGAAAATCGGCAACTAAAGTCCAAAATGCGAAATCAGCTACCAGTGTCCAAAATTTAAAATCGGCCTCAACTGTCCAAAATCAAAAGTGAAACACTAGAGTCTTTCTTTATTACATGTGACCAACAATCTGTAATTATCAATCAGTGACATCGATTCAAAATCAAGTGAAGTTCGGCTTTCTATCGTTGCCATGATAACATATGAGGCTTTGCAGGCAGTAGCCTTGAAAAAAACTGCATGCTCAATCCACTATGGGTTTTTAAATGTTGTCAAAAGCTGGAATCGGTTTTGAACTTTTTGCAAAGGATTACACAAAAGAAAGCAATGGCCGAGCGACTTTTAACATATAATTTGCTATAAAACCTAGCGGCGTGCATTATGGGATAGGAATGACTCTGGAAAATATACAAGTGACTCTACACGAACGCTACATATATCGTCATTTGTCACTTTTCAAATTTCACGAGGACGCGACCCTTAGCCAGAATACATTGCTTTGTAAAACAATGACTGATAAACCACCGGACTGGTCCACTTTAATCAACAAGAAAGGGGAATTTGTCCGTTCGCCGTCAACTTTTCGTGACTGGGTGACAGCTGACGGATCGAGCGGTTTTCCAGCTGAAGCAAATCGTTACCACCTTTACGTATCCCTGGCTTGCCCTTGGGCTCACCGTACATTGATTGTGCGGAAGCTCAAAGGGCTTGAAAATGCTATATCCCACACTGTAGTTGACTGGCTCCTTGGTCCCGAAGGGTGGTTATTCACAGACAGCAAGCCTAAGTGCTCTTTAGATAATGTAAACGGATGTCAAACGCTGCGAAAGGTGTATCAACTCGCCTCTCCTGATTACGAAGGCAGAGTTACGGTACCTGTGTTGTGGGACAAACACAAGAAAACGGTCGTCAATAATGAATCCAGCGAGATTATTCGGATGTTCAGTAAGGAATTCAACGCGTTCTGTACCACAGACGAGCAGAGGAAACTAGATTTGTACCCAGAGCACCTAAAAGAAAAGATCGAGGAGCTCAACAGCTGGATTTATCCGTAAGCTGCAGTATTTGAAATATTACGTAATCAATCTAGGAATGGTAGATTGTGATCGTGATCGTGATCCACTTTAAATATTACTGAAATGTTTGATATGTTGAGTAAATTAATGTCATAATTTTTGTCTCAATTTTCATGCATAGAAATATTATCTAGTATCCACAACGTACCGTGAGGGTGGAGGAAAAGGGTCTCTCTAACCACTCCCACCCTTTAACACCTGTGGGGAGTTTTTTTCCAAGTTCTAAAGCTATTTAAACATGCCCATGGAGTTGTGGAAGTGGGGAGGGAGTTGGCAGATGGGAGGGAAGGAATGAACTCTAACCACCCTTGACAATATCTCTTTGGACTGTTAGATGTCTGTTTTTCTCTGGTTTTGGAGTGAGCACAGGACACAAAGCATGAAATTTAGATCAGGGAAGCACTAGCATAACAACACTTTTCAAAACTTATCAATATGTCACAAATTATTAACCCTTCAATCCGCAGATCTGATTGTTAATTCTCTCCTCTTTGGGAATTTTATCTTTTTTCATGTGCAATCAAAGAAACATCAACAATGGTGTTTACCGCTCAGGTTTTGCTACATCTCAAGAAGCATATGATGCTGCAGTTAAAGATGTCTTCACTCATCTTGATAAGGTTACAAATAGCATTATTAATTTTTCATTGAATATTCCAGTGCATGTATAATTGGTTCAAATCCATAAAATGCAGGGCTCAATACTAACAGCAGCCAACTAGCCATAGACCAGTAGAAATTTAGTTTTGGCAAGTGGTTTTCGATTTCCACAGGCCAGTTTGGCTAGTAAACAAACTGAAATTGTTGTAATATTTAAGTTGTCACCAGCCACTTGGCTAGTAAGTTGAAAAGTTAGTGGAAATGGCTGAAAATACGTTTGCTGATTTGTTTTTCTTTGATGTGCAGGTAGAAAACATCTTGAGCAAATCACGTTATTTGACTGGCAACACCATCACAGAGGCAGATGTCCGTCTTTTTACAACTCTTGTTAGATTTGATATGGTCTATGTTGGACATTTTAAGGTGCTGCAGAATTAAGAAACTTTATATATTGTCTTAGTGGTTCAAAACTGCAAAGATTGTCAGGAGAATGTATCAAAGTGTCATTCCTGAGAGTGAAGTTTATAACTGATTCAGCTATCCCTCTGTAACCACCATCCAATGGACAATTAACTCTTTAATTATTACCCTCAAGATCTGATTATAAATTCTCCCCTCTACCTGCTACACATTTCCTTGTAAATTGGTTATGAGAATTTTGTGTTCAATCAAGGTAACAACCTCTACCTGATAAGTTTGAGTATTCTCACTCCCTTTTTTCTGGATAATGTAATAATATTACAGGGAGAAGTTACATTTTATTCACTTAAGTGAGAATTTGAAATCATTAATATAAAGATATTGTTTGATAGACTATCCAGTGTGAAAATGCATTTTTATTAGTTGGGAAGATTTTCTGTTAGATCTTTGGAGTAACCAATTATCATTATAAGTTATCCAGTTTCACTTTTTATTTTATATTATTTGTAGTGCAATAAAAAACGCGTTATGGACTATCCAAACATGTGGGGATATCTCCGGGATTTGTATCAAACAAGTGGAATTAGTGAAACTGTGGATGCTGAACACATTCAAAAGCATTATCAGGTAAACAGATACTTGCATAATTTCGGAAAATTAAGATTTTTCTTTTGCAAGGTCCAACAGAAGTTGTCTAAAACCTTTAAAAGTTTCATTTTTTTTTTCTTCGTTGGTCAAGAGAGTGGAGTTCATATGCACCCTGGAAGTTTCTCCCACTCGCTCTTGTTATATCGATGTTGTGCATTTTCATTATATTGCCACCATCACACTACCAATTAATTATTATTAGTTGAAATAATTTTGAGTGATGTACTGGTATGCAAATTAGCATGAAGCTAAAAATGAAGTGATGATGGAACAGTATTTTTTCTTCTTTTTTTTTTTTTTGTTTTTTTTTGTTTTTAGATTTCATAATAGAGAAAGCAATTTAATAATGTTTTAACAGCTTCTTTTTGTAAATTTTGTTACAGCAAAGTCACTTGAAGATCAACCCGTATGGTATTGTGGCCATTGGCCCAGAGCTTGACTTCAACAAGCCACATGGCCGTCAGTGACGAGCTTCTAGGAGAATTATAATAAACTATCTTACATCTCAATACATTGTAAGCTTACACAACTATTGTTATTTGAATTTATCCATCAGCTCATGGTTTCCTGTGGGTCCACTTGTTTCATCTGTAATACTCTCTTACTGCCTTCTTCAACTCTCTAAAATGTCATCAATTCTAGTTTCATAACCTTTTGAACAGTAAAATTGATCTGCTCTTTTTTCAGTTTTTCTCCTAAAACTCATTTTACTCTTCTTAAGTGCAACAGAATCTCAAATTTTATTGTTATTAAACTTTGTAGACCTTTTTGTGCCAAAGGAACCACTATTTAAATTGATATTTTTGGCATTTTTTTTGCAAAAAAAAAAAACAATTTTGGACTCTTGCTATACCAGTAAGTATTTAAGCATTATTTGTATCAGTAGTAGTGTAAAGTCAATTTAAATGATTAAGTTAAACCTTGTGAAATGGGGTAAATTATTTAAGCACATGAATTTAAAATAAAAAGAGGGGACCATTCTTTCTTTTATTTCTGATTTGTTACCTTCAGGTATGGAAATTCTTTACCTAAGGTTTTGGAACCATGTTTTTCTGCTTGCACAAGTCTAGGTTTTGTAACCATGTTATTCAGCTTCTTTAAGGGAGTAGATAGGGGGGTGGCCTATGTGTAGCCATACCCTCCCCCCAAGGAAAATCAGTTCTCTCTCTCTTCCAATTCTCCTGGGGGTAGGGTGTGACTACATGTAGGCTATTACAGGAGGGTCTTAGGTTGCCTATGACTCCCCCTACAATATTTAGGTGGCAAAAAACTGGTGAGAACCTTCTGATTGACAAAGTGCGGCCCCTTCTTGGAAAAATCCTGGCTATGCTACTGTTCTCTCTTATTTTTTTCAATCACTTCTTGTGTCAATCTAAACTGGGTGTTATTTCCCATTAGTTGGGGGAAATTTTCAGTGAAGATTGAAATGGTGTGGATCAAGTTGAAGTTTTGATAGACCCTCTACCTTGGTAAGGATAAATTTCTTACCATAACCAGCCAGTGCTCCCCAAAGATTTCTGTAGTTACTGTTTTCTCGGATACTGCTCTGAACTTTCTTTGCAAAGGGTTCTATGCTCTCAAAGGTCAACTATTGCTTAAGAAAAGCCTATAAGGGGGTGGGTGTAAGTCAGAAACTGCGTGCCAAGCGACCATTCTATCAGCACGTGCCTCCAGCCTTAGCAGTGTGAGTAGCTCAGTTTATTTTTTCCTTTATACCTCACCCGTTAGGTGATTTTTTGTTACTTTTACTCATTGCGCTACATAAATAGTTCTTGACCCGCAAAGTCAGTGTCAAGGAAAGAGTATCGTAAAGATCACGCATTAATACCCAGATCGACGAAAAAGGCTTAGGTCTGCCGCTCCAATCCTGGGCTCGATTTCCGCCGCTGTTTCTCGAGTCTGCTGTTTTTTGTTCCTTCCCCGCGGGCTCCGGTTAGTAAGTAAGTATTCGGTCACAGATTCATTCTCTTTTGTTGAAGAGCCCAGGAGTTTCGATCTTAACAACAAGTTTCTCATTTCCTTTGATGTTGAAAGTCTTTTTACCAATATTCCGTTAAATGAAACTATCGATATTGCTGTTGATCTTATTTTCAACCATGACCCTAAATTTTCGAACAAAAAATCCGACCTTAAGAAACTGTTTTCATTCGCTACAGCTGAGACTCATTTTCTTTTTAATGGAAAATTTTATGATCAAGTTGATGGGGTGGCGATGGGTTCTCCGTCAGCACCCATCCTAACTATCTTTTTCTTGGTTTCCACGAGGAAACATGGGTAAATAATTTTAACCATTCGACTCGCCTTCTACTTTATAGGCGTTATGTTGACGATACCTTTTGTGTCTTCCATAATGAACAGGATGCTATGTCATTTTTTGATTACATTAATTCACGGCACCCCAACTTAAAATTCACTTTCGAAAAAGAGAATGATAGTAAACTCTCCTTTCTTGATATATTTATTGACAACTCTTCGAATGATTGTGTTTTTTCAGTTTTTCATAAAAAACATACACTGGTCTCCCAACAAATTTCAAAATTGGTCTTATCCGAACTCTTATTGACCGTATCTACAAAATCAAAAACACCTCTTCCGGCCTTCAAAACGATCTTAAGAAACTTTCCGACACTTTAAAACGCAATTCTTTTTCTTCGCATATTATTGAAAGAACTTTCAAGCGGTTTTTTGACAGGTCCTCCTCTCAAAATAGCCGGAACATTGATGACAATAATACACGTTACTTTAAATTCCCTTTTGTCGGCTATTATTCTAAAATACGGAACCTTAAACTCCGACAACTCACTAAGCGCTTTTGTAAATCGGGCCTAAATATCAAACTAGTTTTCACTTCTTTTAGAATTAAAAACATGTTCAGTGTTAAAGATCGTACTCCTGATGCTCTAAAATCCATGGTAGTTTATCAATTTTCTTGTACGGCGAAACTAGTCGCCACTTCTCTACTCAGGGATAAAGCAGCACACGGAAAGCGATAAAAACTCGCATATTTTTAAGCATTTCAACACATCTCCTTCTTGTAAGAACAAATACTCCCTTTCTTGCTTTAATATTCTGGATTCTGCTAACAATTCAATTGATTTAAAACTCAAAGAAGTTTTTATATAAATAAGATCAAACCTGAACTTAACAAACAATTACAGAATTACAACACCTTTGATGTTTGGTGTCACGTTGTAATTAGCACCCGCTTTTGTATCATGCTGTAAATATTTTATTCATCTACTTAATTGTCTGTTATATAATTAATCACGTTCAGTTACTCATTGATTGAAGATGCATACGCATGCCGAAACATGTCTCTCAAAAAAGTTGTCTATTTCTTACAATATTTACCATACTTGCTACTACTACGACCTTAAGTCAACTTTATTTAAAGAGGGTGCACACATAACAGCTTACGCTGACAAACCAGTGGCCCTCAAAACTAAGGATTAGTAAGTTATTCATGCAAGTCTAGAATTAAAATTGCAACTAGCCTAACAAAGTAACTATTAAAAACAAATATAAATAAAATATATAGAATAAAACATATACTAACATATAGCCTCAAAAGAATCATTGTCTCTATAAGAATCAATAAAATAATTTCTCAAATCATTTCTGAAAGAGGAAGTGCTGCGTTTTTTCTTAAACTCATTTGGCAAACTGTTCCATAACTTGACGCAACTAACTTGAAAAGACCTTCCAACTTCAGTAATATTACGAAACTAAGGACAGATTAAATTCTATTGGCCATGTCTGGTCTCTCTACCGTGTAGTGAATAATTCGTAGTTAAAGAACTCTCGATACACGTAGGGGATTCCCCATGCAGCGCCTTATAAACTCTGTACCGAACAGCGGCTAGCTAGTAATCGAGATCAAGCCTACCCAATCTCCTGCTGATACTCTGCTAATGTTTCCTGGTTCATCCCCAGTTCCTCCGATCAGCCGGTAGTCTCGAGCCAATGTGTACAGGTAAGGGATACAAAGGTAATGCCTCTTTCTTACATTTCTTCCTCATCTTCGTGAAAAAATAATCTGAAATGCCGGACACAAAGACTAGAGAGAAAGGATCTCGTCGAGCTGTATTCTTGGCAACGTTTATACCAATCACAATTGTGGTCATTTTTCTCGTTCTGTGGAGACCGATGTTGCTCCCGTACTTCTTCCGGTACGCAAAGTTGACAATTTCTGAATATGTGAATGACAAACAGAGGTTTTTGGACAACAAACTAGAGATTGCACTGAAAGAATGGAGAATGTATCAACTGGAACGCCAATTTGGACAAGAATGGTGCAAAAAGAAAGTAAAACTACGAAGTGACGTGACGTGGTTGACTGCGATGGTAAACGACGATTTCGCCGTTCCTGCTTTGGTTTTAGGTCACTCTATTCGCACTTTTTCTTGTCAACATAACATGATTGCGTTTGTTTCAAACGGGGTGAGTGCGGGTGCACGAAAAGCCCTTGCGAGTGTTGGCTGGGACACTCGTTTGGTTGAAGGAATGGATTGTGACTGGCTTGATGCAAAATTGGGTAGTAAGCGAAATACTGGATTTTTTGCCAGACCAGGAGGTAGCAGAATCAAGGGAACACACACTCGCTTCCACGCATGGAATTACACTGAATATTCTAAAATTATTTATGTCGATGCTGATTATATGCTCACGACAAACATTGACAGATTGTTTGATATTCCTGATGATTTTGCTGCTGCTCCTGGTTCCAGACCGGGGGTACTGGATCCGTGTTTCAATGCAGGGCTTCTTGTATTTAGACCAGGCACCAAGTTTTATCAGGAAATCATGGACCTGTGGTGGGAAACAACAAAAAAAGACACTTGTCCAAACGATCAGGTGTTGCTGTGGCATTATTATGCAGATGCTGGCAACTGGAAAGCTCTCCCTTATGCATTCAACATCAGACGCATAATCTACAGGCCCTTGAATTCATTTCATTTTGCCTGCTGTGTTCCTCCCAAACCATGGTCTGCAGAGTGTAGACCAAGTAGAAAAGAAGCGGAGGCATATGATGGACCAATTTTGGTCCCTGATGATATGTCGTTAGTTTTCTGGAAGAATCTTTATGAACTGTTAAAGATAAATAATTTAGATGGCTGGTGGAGAACAACAAAGTTCTTCCAAGCAGCTCAAGAATTTAGTGCTATGACTTTCTCTGACTGCCGGAAACAAAAATCATAAATGTTTTGTGGAATAATTTACAGGATCAACTCAGTTGATAAAAACCAAAATTACCTTGTCACTCCCATTGACACAGCACAACAGTGTTTCTTACCCCCTTGATCGTGTTATATTGGCTGTTTTTGAAGGAGCTGGCTAACTGGTATGCAAAAAGTAATCTTACATGTTCCAAAGTTGTTCTGTTAGATTGTTGATTGTACAGCTGTATATGGTATACACCTGAGAAATCTCCCATTCATGTATATAACTTCATTGCATGCCATTTGCCTTGTATCTAGCACCTAGAATACATTTTTTTTTTATTTATAATTTTTTATTTTCCACCACTTGGCCAACTCCTGTTCTATTATCTGCTGGTTGCATTCCTCATTTTATTCTGACATTTCCTTTAGAAACAGAAAAATTGTTCTGGATATTTATATCTGTTATAAGTTTGATGTAAATAGTATTTTTATCTTGATCAGTTCCTTACTCAGAGGTCTTTCTCAGTTTCCTTAGAAGTCATTTATTCACATCAACAGCACTCCAAATTGGGATTGTTTTTTTAGTGGCTAAGGGACTAGAGAAATTTTTAGGCGACATTTTGCTGTGTAATTTGTTAATCTGGTAACCTGTTTTTGACGGTTATGTAACAAGTTGTAATTTTCTTCAAACTTACCTCTATAGTATGAAGTTAAAGGGAAATAAACATTTTTATTAAATTGTTAAAATCACTTTCTTGTTGTTTTCTTCAATGAAACTTTACCTCTTCCTATGTTTCCTAAATATTATGATTTGAAATGATGGGAGAATCTTAAAAACAAATGCCAACTGTACTGCTTACTCCAAGACAAGCAAATTTATTTTGATGGTCATGTAACATGGCACAAAGTGTTCTTCCTGTTATATCTAGAGTCTAAAATTTTATCTCAGGCAGCAATTTAGGAATTTAGGTCACAAAATGACCACTGAGGAAAATTAAACAAACACTGATCTGTACAAAGAAGTGAGCTGATTCACTTGTTGGAATTATGATCGAGCAGCATTGATGAATTGAATAGTTCATTGGCTCTCTAACCTTTTTTAACCTTTTGACAGCTAAGAGTGACTAACGTCTCATTTTTTCTTGGAATGAATCACACATCAAGGCCACAAGAATAAACGAAATGATCACCAACTGAAGAAGCACTTAATTGTTGATGACAAAGGTTAGGAAAAAATTAACCTTTAGTTATATCACTAAACTTTGGCATTATCTCCTGATGGTCTGAACTTTCAGTGCTTGATGTTTCGTGTACGCCATTGCTTGCCTATTTTTCTTATTCAGTCGTGAGAAGTCTGGATCTGTTATAGTTCCGCGGGCTCAGCTTCAAAATGGCGCGAAACATATCCAAAGTAGATGAGGTTAGGAAATGTATCACGTAAATTCCTTATTACTAGGCTAGTTTTAGTGACTATTTTAGGAATATATTTTTCAAGTTTGGATAAAGAATCCCTCAATGTCTCAACGGCCTAATTTCAAGCTAAGAATGCGCACTTTGATTGCGACTCTTTGACCACGAACAGAACTCATGTCAACAAAAATGGTTGGCGAAGACACGGAGCTGGATGCCACGGTAAGAATTGAGTAATCTATAAATTAATTTCAGTTTGCCAAACAGTAAATACTAACAGAACGGTTTTGATGTTTTCGTCGAGGCAATGTTGAAATCGATTACTCGAGCTCTACTGGCCAGTTTCATGTACATTTCTGATCAGCGCGTGAGGTTAATTTAAGTTCCTTCGATTGTACATTAGAAAGAATTAATTTTCCCCAATTATGTGAAATCTGAGAAGGATACCGAACTGCTGATTTGAAGACAGTTTAACACAAACGAAGAGCACAATAGGTCTTTTGTGTGGTTCTCTCAACAAATTTTGTTTGGAGTAGAATTACATATTAAAGAGTAACTGTGATATGGAATGTATAACGAAAGTTTTTAGATCCTCGCATTTTATAACCGAACTTTGAAGCCACCAACATGGGAGGTAGCTTAGGTTACTTTAGGGCTGAGTGTTTTCATACGAAAGAATTGAAATGCACCTATAGATAATGTTAACTCTTTTTGTTTGAATAGGGCAACACTAAAAGAATGTGTTTGTTTTATTGTTAATCCATGTTTCGTTTGTCTTGACAGTCTGACCCTACAGATGGTGTTAACAAAGAAACTAAGAAAGCCAGGCCTATTAATGCCTTTTTTCAGCCTGTCAGGGCAGAAGAAGGTGCAAAAACTTTGTTTGGAAAAGAAATTCCACCAGCAAACTCTAAGAAAACCAGTCAGTCATTAACAAGCAGTGTTGGTGTCAACAAGAGGGAGAATGAGATATTTCAGGATACCAAAACTCCTGCCTTGACTTGTAAGAAGGTTGGTGGATCAGGTGAAACTGTGAAAAAGAAACAATGTCCATTGGATGGAAACTTGGGTTACCAAGCACTAAAACAGGAGTCATCCTTAGAGGAAGAATTTAAATCTAAACAAATAAAATCTAAGTGGTCAGTTACATGCGCTGTGCAGGGTACTTCGAAGCTTTTGAATAGTTCAGGATCAGACTTTGAAGATGATGGAAAAGATTTATTTAGTGCAAAAAATAAACTGGTACAAAAGTCCTGTAAGAAGAGGGCAAGAGATAAATCAAGAACTGCTCACAAATGTAAAGGAAAAACCTCAGAATCTTCAGATGACAAGGAGAAAGATCTTGAAACAAGTCAAGTTGAACAGATAGAAGATGAATCTCAGGGAATTACAGATATTGAAGCAAAAGCTTCAATTAATAGTGCCCAAAGTAAGCAGTTTAGGACTAGTGCCTTTGATGTTTTGATGAATAGTCAAAGGGTCAAGAAACAAGAGGATGATACAACAGAGATTTCTTTGGAAGAATCGCGAAATGTAGTTGAAATTATTTCAGAAAAATCAAACTCTTGTGATATTGTTGATTATAAAGAGATGGTCCATTCCAAGTCAAATGTTAAAAAAGTACTAGAATCAGGGAAGGATTCTTCTCCCGATAGGATTCACTCAAACAAAAACTCAGAGACAAATGCTTTTGATTTGTTAATGAAGAAAGGAAAGAGTCCCAGCAAAAGAGATTCCCAGCCTCAATCTGAGCTAGATGAACCTCCAAAGACTTTTGATGGCTTGTCTAAGAAAAAACTCAAGAAGAAATCTTTTGAATTTCATCTTAGTATTTGTGGTGGCAAAAAGAAAAATGTGGAGTTTTTCATAGAATCTGACAATCCAAGCAGTGATGTTGTAGATTGTAAAAAGAATGTAAAGGGTAAAAGGAAAAGGTGCAAACCTGAAGGAGATGGAAGTGAGTTGGTAGAAAGTAAAAGTGATGAAGCCTTTCTCAATGATAATTCTGAAGAAGTGACAGTAGTTTTTAAATCAAAAAGAGGTAGACAAACGAGCAAAGTTGTAAATGAGAAAAATGTAGAGGGAGATCAAGTTGTGATGTATGAGAAGATAAAGAATGAGAAGAAAGGGAGAAAAACTGGGAAGAGAAGCTCTTGCACTAACGCAATTGGCAGTGAACTGAACGATGCTCTTTGCATCAAGGAAGCTCAGTGTAGGAGCAGAAACAAACAGCAACGAGGAAATGATGATGTAGATGCTAAAGAAATGAAAGAGAAAAGGAATGTAAGAGCCAGAAGGAGAGGCGATACAGCTTCCTCACCAGCACAATTCCAAGATGAATTACCCTGGTATGTATGTATGATCATGTATATGTTGTAGATCAATTTTATACTTGGTTCAAATTTTATTTTCCTTTGTTCTCGGTCATGTTATTGTATGATAATGAGTTTGAAACAAAGGAAAATAAAATTTGAACCAAGGATAAAATTGAACTACAATATATATATATATATTGTGTTCAATGAAAATTTTGAATTTCAAAGGGTTTTTTTTTCTTGTTAACATATTGTAAATGATTTGAGAAAATATGTTTTTGCAAAAAAAAAAAAAATTCTGGAAAACGAAATGCCACAAAAAGTTGCTATCTTCAGTTTATGGGGGTGGGGGGGAGTTAATTGTAACTAAGTGGGAGAGGGTAGAGGCAGATTTTGGCTTTTTATATTATTTCAGTTCCCCTGGGCAGTAGGGTATTTCCTTGGAAGATTTAAGTAAATTTGTTGACTCTGACAAATTGGCTTGTTACTTGTAGTTATTCGTTTACTTTACTTTTACTATTTCTCTGAAAGTACTGAAGACCTTGAAATGTCCAAGAGAAGAAGAGATCAGAAGAAAAAGAGTGAACAATCAAGCAAGGAACAGTCAGGCATTGATATCAGAAGTATGGATGAGGGAAAGAACAGAGCTGACATTGAAAAAGAGAAAGCAACGAAGGACCTGTCCAACAATGAGATAACAGCTTTATGTAAAGGTGTGCACAAGAAGAATGATTTCTTTAGTTGAAGTAACTTCTTCAGCAACTGACTGACAGAGTGCCACGCTTAGCTACAGTATTTTTGGATTTTAAGTCATTACTTTTTGCCAGTTAACTTTACCTCATAAATTATCCACATAATCATTAGTGGTTATGTCCAAGAAGCAGCTTTTTTTGTGGTACTGAGAAACTGGCAAAAATTTTTTTCTATCCTAGATAAGACATGTTTATTACTGACCTTGTTTTATCTGTCGGTGCTGTAAGTTATGGAACCTCCTTTGTTTCATGTTCAGATTTATGACCCAAGTGCAAAGCGTGTAGGCCATAAATCTGAGCCAAAAAAGTGAGGTTTCATAATGTACAGCACAAACAGATAAAACAAGGTCAGCAAGATGTACATCAGTTCTCTGGGTTCAGGTAAAGATCCTCCATATTATTTTACCATAATTTGGGAGTAATGCTGCATTCTGAGTGGCCAATTTGCCTTTGTCAAAAAGAGTACAGCAACGCTGCTCACATCAAGGTGTCATGCAACGTGTCACAAACTGAAAAAAATCATTTTATTTGAGGTCGATATTGTGGGAAAAAACAAATTAACAGTTTTTTTATGGTGGTCTGTACTCTTATCAACAATGATATTTGTCATTACAGTAGTCAAAGTCAGTTGTGGACTAACTCAGCTGCACCTCGTGAGTTCACAACATTTTGACCACTATGATGATAAATATTGTTGTTGAGAAGAGTACAGACCCACACTAAACCACTGTCAATATGTTAACTTTGAAAGGATCTTTTCATTTCCAGAGCCCAAACCTTTGGCCTCCATATTTCTCAAGAAGAAACCATTTATCCCTAAAACTGACATTCCAGAAGAACCACCTTCAGTTGTGGCTCATTCAGTAACATCACCCACCACAACCTTAACAGCATGTTCAGTAATTATGGTAGACAAAACCACTGATCAATGCAGCATTACTGACGTGGATTCCTCTTCAGTAAAAGAAAAACCAACTATCGACCAGGAAGCTGCCAAAAAGGCATTTAATGCTTTGTTTACTGGGGCACACCATCAGAAAACTCTGCCTGCTGTTACTGCTGCAGAGGTTCTTCCAGCTCCATGGCCAGCTGTCAGCCACGTGGTTCAAAAAGAGCATTGTGATTCTCTTGGTGTTGATTTCTGGAGTCTTCCTTGGCCTATTGGGGGAAGTCATAAATCAGACGATCGCTCATGTCATTTATTGCCTGAAGGTACATTGAGTGTGTGTACAACTTGGGTTGTATGTGTATACCGTAAATCCTCTATTAGGCCCCTCCTCTGATAATCACTTTGGTCAATTAGTGGAGTTAGCGCTATATAAATTATGTTAAATTAAATTAAATAAGCCACCCCCCTCTAATAACTCCCTCCCCCCCCCCCCCCTCCATTAATCCCACTGACAGATGTGACTGCTGATTGGATTAGACAAATGTTTTCTTCACATTTTATTTCTCTTTATTCAGTTTATATCTCCAACACAATATCACAACAAAGTACAGTCATGTTTTGTGGAAGGAGAATCATTGAACAGTCCCTATGTCACTTCAAGAAACTGGTACCAGTAAGTAAAATTCACAAAATTAATGAACATCTTTCTCTCAGTTTTTCTGTGTTTAGCCAGCATCTTAAATTATTATGGAAGGCTGATAGAATAATTTTTGTTGTGGTTGTAACTCATTGTGTTTAACTTTGTGTTTCTTTTTTTATCAACAGGAAGATAAAGCAACAGAAAAAAAATTCTCTGAGGTTATCACAAAGAGCATTGTCTCAGAGCTGGCATTGTTTTACCCTGGCATACCACTCAGGAGACTTTACAAAAGATATTTTTCAAAACTGCAAAAGTACAGAGCAAGTGGTGCTGTTGTGGACCTTGAACAAACTGTCCCAGAGAAAAAACCAGAGGAGAGAGTGAAGAGCAGTGAAGAATCTTTAGGAGACAAAGATGGGAAAGATAACATCGTGGCAAATAGTTTATGCACCAAAAGAGGAAAAAGAAAGCAGCAATTGTCTTCTGATGAGAAAAGAAGCCAGGAGAAAGAGACTACAAGGAAACATGATGGTAAACTAGTAAAACAAGGTACTAGAACTGACCAGCTTGTGAAAAAACCACGCCAGAAAAGAAGAAGAGAAGACGATGGTGACCAATATCAGGTGGAGGTCATCAAGGAACGAAGATTATCCTTAAGAATCCAAAGAAAGAAGACACACTTGGAGTCTGACACCCTAGAGGATAATTTAGAGCAACCAGAAACTGCCTCGAGCATGAAGAAGAGACTAAAAACAAGTAATCATCAGGATGGCCTGAAGGAAACATCAGAACCTTCTATGCAGTTTAAAAAGACGGCAGAGATACCTGTTGTTCCCAACAGTGACACAAGTAATTTGGAAACTTTTGTCAATGATACATTGTGGACAGAGTTGTATCGGCCTCTGCACTCCACTGAAGTCATGGCTAACGCTTCTTCTGTCAGAAAACTCCGATCCTGGCTGCAAGAGTGGAAGATCAAGAGAGAGAAAACTCTGAGGAAAGAGCTTCAGCAACAAAAAAGGTATCAAGATTCTGAAGTAATTGCTTGTCATGTTGTAGTAATTTTAGTGGGTGTGTTTAGTTTAAATAGAATGCTCATTGGATAAACATATTAAGCAGCCACATTTAGTTGAGTATTGGCCTCATTTTTCAGGCTTTTAGCAAAACAGAAAGACAAGCAGGCACAGAGCAGGCAGGGCTCCACTCACTCGCTTGAGTGGTGGGATGCAGACAGTGACTCTGACTTCCAAATGAGTGACCATGCTTCAGATGAAAGTGACACAGAGGAAGGTGGCTTGAACACTGCCATGTTTATCTCTGGTCCCACAGGAGTTGGGAAAACAGCCATGGTGTAAGCTTGTGCAGAAGAACTGGGTTACAAGGTACTATTTGCCTTGGTGAAATAGTTCACCTGGACTGTTGGTGATAATAGTCCACTGTTTTGACAACTTGAGTGGAGGTCATCATCAGGCTTGAACATTGACTAGTGGAAGTAGGCTTTCACTTGACACTGATGATTTCCACACAAATTGTTGGAAGGTCAGTCACCAATGTTGATAGCAGTCCTTCTCTGGACTACTCTCACCTGCTGGAGGATCTGATCACAATCAACTGTTATCATTGCCTCAAAAATCTACTTTTTTAAGAATTTTGTCATAAGACTCTAGGGTACATGGTATGTCCTGGTTTCTATGGTGTTTGTCCATTTTAAATGATCCTGATAGTCTTCAACCCTTCCATGGGTACAAGGTTCCAGGTGGTGCCACTGTAAGGGTTATTGAGAATGCCAAACTGCCCCATTGCAATGGCACAGAGATTCCACAAGGGTAGATGCAATAAAGCAGAATAATGTATTTTGTAAAAAATGGTTCATTGTCTATATTTTTTACCATTTCCTCAATTTACGAAATAATGGTTTGTCACTGATATTGTTGGTAACTTTGGAAATTTGTAAAACATTAGGTATTTGAGGTCAATAGTTCCTCCAGACGTTCTGGCAAGCAGATCATGTCACAGCTTGAAGAAGCCACCCAATCACACCTGGTGATCAGAAACAAGGGTGTGGCCCCACCCTCTTCCTTTTCAGGCATCTTTGATAAGCCTGTAAATAATTCTCCCCCCACAACTGGTCCCCTGAGTGCCTTTTTGCAGAAGAATATAAATGTCTCTGAAACCAAAGCCAGCAAAAGTGGGAAAAGAAAAAAAGACAGGAACATGAAAGAGAAGAAGAAGCAGGGATCCAACGGGAAAAGCAAATCAATTCTCAAGCAGCCATCACAACCAGTTAAAGATGACAGTGAATCATGTTCAAATTTGTCTTCAAAAGCTGCCTCTCTGATTTTGTTTGAAGAGGTTTGTTAATTGTCTGATTAATTTTTCTTACAGACCAAACTTTGTTGATTGTATTTATGATTTCAGCTTCTTAGATCACAAGTTAGAGGACATGACTGAAGACCTTGTCGTCATCTTCCTTTTACACTTGTTTTTTACCCCTTCTCTTTTCTCCTTCTTTTTACCGTCATTATTATCATCCTCATCGTTATGAACCCTTATTGTGCCACTTGTCTTATGAGTATAAATGTGTGTTTGTATAGCTGCTAATATATTTGCCATTCCATCATTATTTGTCTAGGTTGATGTTATTTTTGAAGAAGACAAGAGCTTTTGGATGGCTGTAAACTCCTTCTTGCAGAATGCTAAGTGTCCCATTGTTTTGATTAGCACAGGTGAGAGACAGACCCTAGCAGGGTCAAGAACTCAGAGATAATAATAAATAAGTAGTAATTTTTTGTTTGTGTGTTGGTATGTTTCCCAAACATCCACAGCACTTTGTCTATTTTCCTTGACAATTTGCCACCACCATTTACTCCTGTGCAGAGAGAGGCAAGAAAGAGAGTAAAATGTCTTGCCTGATAACAAACCACATATAGACTTGGCCTGAGTGCAATTGTGGGTCTCTCCATCCCAAGTCTAGCAATGAACTCTAGGTCAGAGTGTCCCCAGCAGTACTGATTCAGTAGAGATAAAAGAAAATGCAAGTTGTATGTTGTAGCAATGTGGGAGGCACAGTGGCCACATGGTTAGTATGCTCAACTCTGGATTGAGTATTTAGGGTTCGAGTCCTGGTGCCTCTCTTCACCCAGGTGTTTTAATGGGGAACAGCAAATTTGATGCTTGGGGGGGGGGTAACCCTAGGATGGACTAGCATCCCATCCAGGGGGGAGTAGAAATATTCCTAGTTGCTTCATACTGCAGAAACCAAAGTGGGCCACTTGGCTCATAAGCAGACTTTACCTTTACCTTGCTCATAGCAGTTTCTTCCTATCCAAATGTATCTAAACTGCTGCTTCTTAGCAGACACATCTTTTAATCCAAAGCACAATCTCCTGCTAGTTATCAATGTTTGTACAGGTTCACAGCTTTGGAAGGTTAACTTTTAGACCTGTTTTATGGGGAAAGGTTAAATGCAAGTCTGTATTTCTTTTCTGTAAATGACAGATTTGCATGTAAACATTACAACAAATTTAACATTACTTGTTGATTTTTGAGTATTTTGATAAAAAGACCTACAATAATTTCAATTTCTGTTTTCTGTCCATTATTATTTCGTTATTGTCAATTGTTTTGGGCAATTAAAAGGTGAAAATTTTTTCTTTCCTTCTGAACTGTGCCGTTAAACTTGCCAAGAAGTGAGCAATGCTTTTGAATGGACTCTTTTTGCCTTCTACATGCACCAGTTATTTTTAGCTATTTATTGTAACTGGAATTTGTTTCCCAACTCAGTCAGATACATAAAAGAGATGATCAGTACTCACCAACCCTGTGTTCTGGGTCCCTGTGATGAATTACAGATCCTCGTTTTTCCTTCAATTTATGGCGCATGCGCTTTGAGCTTATAAGGGGAAGAACTTGTTTTGTTATTTATTACACAGACCTTGAACTCAGAGAGCAGAAGGCATTTAATTTGTCATGTAATGTACTTTTTGCAGACTCACAAGTGAGCTGTGAGGGACGTTATGATCAAATCATGTTGAAACCTCCATCAGTAAATCTTCTAGCTGCACATCTACAACTTGTAGCTTTGACAAACAACATTTTCGTCAATCCTGAAGACCTCAAATCTTTGGTTGCGCAAAACAACTGTGACATTCGAAAGTCTCTCTTCGATCTGCAATTCTGGTCAGCATCAGGGGGGGGAGTGAAGGTGCCGTATAAAAGACCAGTGAATTTGGAATCAAGTAAAATTGATGTTGGCAACAATGATCTGAAGCCTCAACATACGTCTGCAACCTCTGAAAGTAGCACTGAGAATCTGAAGACTGGCACTTCATCTCAAGATGTTCATCAGTTTGAACCTCTTGTAACTGGTGGTATTCTAAATGACGATGGAGAAGAAAGCCTGTTTCTTTCCGTAAGCGATTGGCAGGTAATCAAGAGCCAAGGAGCTGCAGGCAGCCTGCGCTCTTCAAAGAGAGGAATTCCTGGTCAGGCTAATGGCGACAACTCGGATTCTGATTTCTATGAGCCTAAGAGGGCAAAACTGTTCTGTCCTGATGGGTCAGCAGATTCTGTCTTTGAAATCACTGACACAAATGACAGTCAGCCTGTCAGCAGTGCAGATGAGAAAGCTGATAGCTTGCGCCAGCTGCCCTCCGTGGATTCCTTGCTGTTTGAGAGTGTGCATGGGTTCCTCAATTGTGTGGCTGATCCAACTGTTGGGGCACTGTCAATTCTGCAAAAGGGAAAGAAATCTGGAGATAAACTTGAGGTAAGCAAACACTTTTTCCTGTGGGGACATCAATTTCCTAGGAAGAACAAAGAAGTTCTATTATCAAAGCTCTTTATTTCCCACCTTCAAGTGAATTGAGTAATTTGTTGTTTGGCTTGGTTATGGTTTAACGACTCTCACATGGATAGTCAGATTCTTGTCTTGTATTTTCATCATGTTTTTATATGATAAGATCCCCTTTTTAATTATATTTGTTAATGCAGAATATAGTAAAATTCATTTTCAATTAAGATAATGGGATTTTGTGTGTTTTTATTTTGCTAAGGAGTATGGGATTTCTGACAAGCTGCACCTGACGCACTTTTCCCAAAGACTTGATGTGAATTTGATCGAAACAAATTTGAGTAACCTCATCCCACTGTTTGCTGAATCAGCATCTCCATTGCCGCAGACCGGGCAGGATCCACAAGGGATTCCATTTGAAAATCAGACAACTGATGTTAACCCACCAATTGCAGAGGAAACGACTTTCACGAGTATTGATATACTCTCTGATAGAAGCCTTTTTGACGATGGCACAGACGAATCTACCAGTAGAGGGGAGACTGAGGGTGTCATGGAGAGAGATCAGACAATAGATAAAGAATCAGAAGATGGAAGGACAAAGACGTTGAGTAATTCTCAGGACTCCGCAGACACAGGCTTTAGTGGGTCTCAACCTAAAGAAGGAACTGATGCAGCTGGAGAGGGTGAAATGCACGAAGAGGACTCTGCGTCCTGTGGAGAAACTGTCATGAAAGGAGGGAAACATGCTCGCAAAACGCCATCCAATAGTGAGAAGAGTTTATCTGTTTCCATTACAAAATAGCAGTCTAGGCCTAGTTCTTCAAAGAGCGGATAACGCTGTCCGACGGATAAATGCCTATCCAGTGGATAAGTGTTACCAAAACGTAATGCGCTATCCACCGGATAGAGATTTATCCAGTGTATAGCGTTATCCATCCTTCGAACAACTGCAGCCACAGTTTTAGGTATTATATATTGAAAGGCATATGATGTTGAAAACGACGGATTGGTTTCAGGGTTTGAATCCTGAAGGGGTAAGTTTGGCTTTTATTTCGTGCTCAGTTTTCTTTTTTATGAATTCTTACTCGGCTTCCGAAAACTTAAATTAAATAAAGTACTTTAAATGAACAAAAGTTGGTTGAACGTCTCGAGTGGCTGGAGGCATACCATACTAATTCTGGACCATGACTGGATGAGCAAGACACCTGATACCTTTTGTGATATCAGTAGAAACTGCCTAATACACTAGGGTGAATTAAATATTCTTTTCTCTTTTAGGAGAAAGATGCTGTACTAAAGCGCTGGATGTTTTTGCGCAGTTTGCAGAAAACCAGTCCTTTTCAGATGCTTTCTGCCCGAGTCTTTCTGTCTCTAACACCCAGTCTTCCTCTGTTGATTTTGGCTGGTGGAAAACTGCGCTGAAGCCTGGACTCACAGATGAGCACGTGACTGTAGAGGAATACAGTCATTGGTTAGCTCGCGATACACGCGCAAGCATCCGAGGAGCATTAGAAGTGGCTAATTTGGAGAGTTGTCGGGCCAAAGTGAATTGTTTGAAAAACGATTTGGAAGAAATTAAAACTGTAGTTGAAGAGGAGAGCACCAGCATGTCGGAAAATGAGCTTTACAGTTCTAGCTTATTATCGGAAGATCTTCCTCCACGTGATTGTAGTTCTTTGTTGCATTTGAATTCACCTTCGCTCATACAAAAAAGGTAAAAGACGCTGCAAAATTTCGTAACTAATATTAAGTGATGCCAGAAGCAATCTTGCGCCAAGCGAGAGATGATAAGTTTTCTTAAAGACCTTATTGGTTTAATATGACTTGTGTAATGATAAGCAGTTAAAGTTGCTTTAGTTTTGATTAATGATGCTTGATTTAATAGCTGATATATCACCTTGTCATGGAGCCAGACCGCCTTCCCCAAACTCTACGGTGGTTCACGACTTCGCCCATATAAGAATTTGTAGAAATGATTACGTGAATGGGGAGTGTTTACTTCAAAACTTGTCAGCTCTGATTCTAATCTGTAATTCAGTTAAGCTTTAGGTGGCTCTTTCTTTTTGTGACGCAGTTTCAGATCTTTTTTGTTTTGGTTTGGTTTTTGTTGTTGATTTTGTTTTTGAAAGGTCTCGTGTATCGCATTATGTTTATGAAAGTTTATGGAGTAATTAAATCTATTCTAAAGAGTTGCGATTTTTGTTGTGTTTGGCTTGGTTATGGTTTAACGACTCTCACTTAGACAGCCCTTTACTAATAAGTTATTGTATTGGCATTGTTTTACCGTTCAGTTCTACAGCGAGCCGGAGAAAGCTCTACACCTCCCTAGCGTCATGTATTCCATCATTGTACCACTGTGATCATCGCTGTTTAGCAAGTGACTACATACCAACGTTTCGCCTGCTCTGTTACTCAGAAAGGCTCCGAGAAGCCGCCAACATCAAAAGGAGGTAATTCAACGGGAAATTGCTTTACCTTTTTCGTAGTTCTCGAACGGCCGTGAGTGCAAATAAGTGCAAGACAGGAATTCTAACCTCTTAAAATACCGCTTAAGGGTCTCAACTTTTGCTCATCCCGTCTCAAAATATTGGTATTACGTAATTATAGGGAGAAAACCTTGTTTAAACATAGTTTGTGATTTTTGCTTATGCAGTTTTAGAGATTGTTTCTGTTTGAATGTTGATTATGTGACCTAATGTGCTTTGTGCTATCAGTAAGGGATGATACTTAAGTTCAACACTGATGCAAATCTGATTTGTTTTCAGATTTCTTCATTATCTGGATCTAAATTCGTTTCCCTTGAGTCGGTCCACAATGGAGGCTTTAGCAGACAGTTATTTGGGACAGTAGGGTCATCTAATAGCTGTCGTCTAGAAGCAGTCGTTTTCATTGAGTGGCCTGGATTCTTCCACGATTTATAACTTCTTGATTTTTATGCCGATTGAAATATGATTTGGAGCTGGATGAGACACCAGGCAAAAAGTAATGTTTTCCCTCTCTTACACTTATTTTTCAAACAAATATTTCCTTGTGTCTCAGCGCTTGGTATTTGAGCAGTTTTCAATTAAGTGTAAGAAAACCTAAAACCAAAATAATCCCAGCTACCAATCAGAGCAAAGGTTATAATTATCATTAGCAAATGAAAAGTCAAAGTGAAAATAAGATGACTACTGAAAGCGCGGGAAAACGCTTTTAACCAAGGCGCGATTGTTTTTAGTTTTGCATCTGATTGGTTAAGAGGATGGCGTGGAGTTTTTCTGGACCAATCACAGAGTAAAGTTAAATAAAACAAAATCAATCCAGGATTGCTTTCAAAAATCAACTGAGAATTGCTCTTTCTCTAAAGAAAAATCCTAGTTGATATGTTTTGCTCTTTCTCATAGCTTCTGTGCTCACCAATTTGTCTATTTTCTGGCAAAAAGTTACCATTTTATTTTTTCTTGAAGTAAAAAGCTTGATAAAACCGTAGGTCATGATTTTAAAACCGTTTTGAACCATTATATTAGGGGAGAACTCTCTGGACATATTACTACTTCCCCTTCCTATTTGAAAATCAGGTTGATCGGCAAAGTAAATAATCAATAAGTTAGAAAGTTCCAACTAAGAGCTTTATTTGCAGCATTTCATTATCAGAATTTAAGCATACGTATGTCATAGACAAATACTATATATATTTAAGCCACGTTTTAAATGTCGTTTTGATTGTCAAACAGTATCACAATAATCCAGTCGGGTAAATATTAACCGTTCTAAAGTGTTTAACTTGTGAATACAATAATGTTTAAACTGAAATGTTAGTATATATATATCGTTTTCTGTGCTTTTCTCTGATTAGACATGAGGGCCGGAAACTCTTCGGTACTTAACGATAATCGTCCAAAACAGGATCTGCTTAGTCCATTGGACAAGAAGATCGGAAACTCCTCGGTTCAAAAGCAGAATCTACAAAGTCGATTTGACTGGGAGTTTGTTATTTCCTTCCCATGTAGAGTTGGGATAGAGGATACTGACCAATCTATTACCACTGAGCTCAGTAATAAACTCATGAAGGAAGTAAGGTGCGCTAGGTAGCCAGATTTAAATTTAATTATTTCTGTGTGTATTATTATTATTATGCTATTCAACGAGTGAGTAAAAATATCCTTTTCCCTGCAATTTTAAAATAAATTTTTAAAACCGGACTCGTTCTTATCTTTGTCGCACAATTAGAGACCGAAACTGAAAAGCAGAGAGATGCGAGGTGGAAAAAGAAGTCTCCAGTCCAGCTTAGTGCGATCGCGTAAGATGTACTTAAACCAAGATAGAAATTGGCGCTTTGCAAGGTGCTGTTCACCTCGAACCGGCCAGGGTAGCTTGTTTTTGAGAAACTTGATCGACGGATTAACTATTTAGCCCTCCTACTATCGATAGATATGTAGGGCACTTATCAAGAAATCTGAAATTAAGCTGATTGTAGAACTGATACATCTATATATTTAGCTCAGCGAGCGAAACGGATCAACTCTGGCCGGTTTCGTGCGCAGAGTTTCAAAGAAAGAAAAAGGGAACAACCGCCGTTGCAAAATAAACAAAAAAAAATTGAAAGTTTCATAGAAATCTGCAAAGGGAAACAAAAATGGAGGAAAGGAATACTCGAGACCGTTCGAACACAAAGCTTTTTAAAGTAGGGAGTATCCTGTTGATTTACCATCCTGTTTTAAGCTTTACCAAAACATTTATACACTCCTAAAACACCGTGATTTACAGGCTTGTGAATTTTTTTTCGTAACTCGTCTGAGACAACACTGGTCCCACTGACCCCTCACCACCTGGTCTTAAAACACACGCGCAGATGTTTGGCCACTATGTTGGTTTAGGTTTCTTACAAAACGACCGCAATAAAAAAAAAAAAAAATCACGTGATTTGCCAGAGGTGTTAGTCGCATCTAAGAGTTTCAGTCTGCTGATTCAATAATACACCGAGTTGGTCAGGCATTACAATACTTGAAAAGAGAAAAAAGAAATTTGACAACTTTGTGGAACGGCTTTAATAGAACTACTTTTTTGGTCATTTGATGTAATCGTTATCAATTACAAAAAGAATTCTAAGGAAAAACTAAACTACTCTAAATTTGGTGAAAACAAACAGGGTTTTTTTGGAATATGTGAAAACAATATTGTGCAGACATAAACAACTGAAATATCATGCTTCCGCATTTAGTGCACACCGAGCAAATGTTTTAAGACCAAAGAACAACTTGTGCAAAATGAGAACTGTAAAATGTTTTTCCTTTCGTTAATATCTGTCTAACACCATTCTCCCGTCAGCAAAACGAACAACATTGCAACTTGGATGTCAGCTCAATCTAAAGGTGCAGTAGCGTCGGTCGTGAAACTTTTTCTATTGGATGACAAACTTCGTTTTAAGCTTTCCCTTGTCCGCCTGATGTAGAAGCCTCGCTGCTCTTTGCTGCTCCTCCGGGGCCGTTAGATGCGTCCACCGGCCTCTTGCTCCCAGCGTTCATGAGCATCCCAGCTATTGTGGCAATCACTGCAGCAATGAACCAGAAGAACCATCTCTTGGAGAAATATTTGCCGAAAGCTGCAAGAAACGCAGACGTCGCGATGGCAAATCCAACCGCCATTGAACTGCTTCTTAATTACTTTTCCGCTGCTGGCGAGGTCAGTTCAGTTTTATCTGCAATAAGAGGAGTACAATATAGTCCTCTTGTCAAATGGAATGATGACAAGCAGAGAGTATGAATCAAAACACGCTTCAGAACCCTGCCCTGTTTTTCTTCTCAATTTGGCGTCTCAGTAAACTTCCACAACTGGTGTTGCGTGTTAAACCGTTAAGAAGTCGAATATCATTGGCTGGTTTAGGTAAATATTAGGATTCAAATCACATGGTTAGCAGGTGTTATAAAAAAGAGAAAGCTGTTATGACTCTTATATAACAATTTTTTTGGTCCATAGCTAGCCTTTTCAGACTATCAAGGAAACATTTTCATTTTACAACTACTTTCTTACTTATGATGTACACCCAACTATAACGCGGGTTACTTGCAATCAAATTAAAACAGATTAAACCTGATTTAGATACCAGGATATTAGTTTGAAGGTCAGTGTCTCACCAGGTGTTTCTAAAGCTTTTTACACTTGTTTCTAATACATTTAAGAAATTGGTGATGCTGTTTCAACAGACAACCGACATTAAAGAGGCAGATAATCAAGGTTGATGTCGGTGTCCGCTTCTGTAGAGTAACAGTAAGCGTTTATCATTAAGCTTTGGACCTGTCTTTTGAGGAAAATCAAAATATTGTATTTTTGCGTTCCATAAATTGATGTTTTCATAGATTCACCAAATTGAATACACTTGTCTACTCTACTCATTAAATATTTGATTCAGGAGCCTTTATATTTACATAACGTGTAATTTTCCCTTTTCCTCACACGACCCCACAAGCTTGTAGCTTAGAATATTATCGTATATAGATAAAGGTCATTTATCTTTCTATCTATTACTAAGTAATGGGCTCACGATTGATTGTATATTTTATTTTACTCCGATCCTCTCCTTATCATCGTCTTCTAGTTTATCCTCACCTTCAAGTCGATCTCTTCAAGGCATGACCGAGGGGACTATTACCCAGTGTTTACTTCTGCCTTGGTAGCCTCGCCGTTATGCGGGAAGTTTGAAAACAACAGTTATGATGATCAGTCGTTCTGTTACATGAATTGACTTTATTCGATGTTTGCGTTCCTCATATCCGACGAAAATGTCAGGAAAAGATAGGCTACTGCAGCAGTTACCCTCAAATGCAATTTCTGCAAAGGAATTAGCCAGGTAAAGTAAAGTAAAGTAAAGCCATTTAAACAACGATTTATACGCTGCTTAAATGGCTTCTAATTTCGTGAATGTAAATCAGCGATCAGTAAGACGGAATTTTTAACTTAGTGACGATAGCTCCATGCTAGATTTCATTTGTGATCCTTTTAGAAGTTTAGGTTTGGTCAAGAAAGGACCTTTATCCGCAAATCGACAGAAATGTTCCATGAAGGACCTGAAACAACGTGGGTACAGCATCTATTTTACCTAAATGTTACATGTATGTTACATCAAAATTAAATCAGTACGTCAACCAGATGTAACTTAAGAGAAATTTAAACAAGTTTACGTGATTTGGTGGGAAAATATTTCTTTTCACTGATAGATTATAGTAGCCCGAAAAAACCTGAAGTTGAAAATAAGGCGGTCAATTGTGATTGCTTACCGGTTGATTTATGAAGTCAATTGATTTTTTTTTTTTTTTATTATAAGTTTAAGGTTCGAACAACAAATGATCACCAGTAATTATACTTCTCATCCCAAAGTTTCATCACCGAAGATTTCAGGAATTAGCTTCCGAGATCAACTGATTACTTTGGGTATTGATATATATATATATAAATATAGTTGATCAATAAGATAGGCGTATTTTTTTCACTTCTTGGTTCTCTAATTTCTATTGCAGGTCAATATTTTTCATACCTAATTGTTCTTGACTTCGAGTCAACGTGCTGGAAAGACAAAAAAATGAATTATGCCCCAGAAATAAGTAAGTATCAGTTTTGTCTCCATTCATTTAAGCATGATTAAAATTAAAAAATATCTGGATGTTTTTTTGTGATGGCAGCTTGAAAATAAGTCATGTTTAAATGTTTCAGAAAAAAAATCCATTTGGTGTGGAAGGTTCTGCAGACCTGGTACAGTTTTGTTGCCTGGTTTACCCAATCTTGAAGCATGTGGGCAACAGCTTAAAAAGCAGTGATTTTTTTTTTTGTTTTAAGTTGCTTCTTTTTTTGTGTGTGTGTGTTGTACAGTTGAATTCCCTGCAGTGCTGCTAAATACAAGCAGTGGAGAAATTGAGTCTGAATTTCATAGGTACGTACAGCCTCAGGAGCACACAAAACTGAGTGAGTTCTGCAAAGAGCTGACAGGAATAACTCAGGTATGTCCTGAAAGGAACCATTTTTTAATGCTGACAGAGGTGTCCTTATTTTTTATGCAGCTACTCCAAAGAATATGATTTTTTTACAGAAAAAATCGTCAACTGAGTAAGCTCTGTGATATATGTTAAGAACTTGATCACTACAGTGGTAGGGAGATTCCCTTCTTTACTTATTTAAGTTCATGAAAAATGTAAACAGTAGTCCACAAAATTTAGCTATCTTGGCTGTCAGTTTTAACTGTCCAAACCTAATTTGTGCACTCACAAGTAGTGGCACTCTGTGTGAAAACCTTCTTTGCAAAAAAAAATTGCACAATGAAATGTTGTCAAGTAGTATTGTACTTATGACAATGTTTCAAGTCCTTAATGATCTTTGTGGGTAAACTCATCTAAAAATCTCCTTCAGACTCAAGTGGATGGTGGTGTTCCAGTTGGCACCTGTCTGATGTTGTTTGGAAACTGGCTACAAGAGATGAAGGACAAAAAAGGATTTAAGTTCCCTTGTGAAGATGGACAAAAACAAGATCAAGAAAATGATAGAGATGGTTGGATTAAGTGGTGCACATTTGTTACATGGTCAGGTAAATGTGATTTCCATGCTCATGTTTTCCTGGGCCAGGTTCTTCAAAGCTTGCTCAAGGTAACTCACAGTTTGTGTGAAATCTGATTTAAGATCCAAAAGATTTAAAAGAAAATTCAGTACAACTATTTTTGTCACAATTTAATGAAAATTCAAAGAATAGAGAAAATTATCCAATAAAATATTTTGAACAAAGGGATAAAGAAACCCAGATTATAATTTAACCCTGGGTTACTGCTAATCAACCTTCAAACAATTGGACCCTGATGCAAATGTGGGTCGGTAAATGTATGCGAGGAGGCTCTTAGGAGTGGTGGATTAACCTGGGATTTAATAAATTGTTTAAAGATAATTTTCTTAATATCACTTTTTGAAATGTATTTTGAGCACAATAACTCCTGAACCTTCCTATTGAGGTACTTCTATAATTTTCTTGTACATGTCCAAATTCATTTAAGGGACATGCATGTATGTAACTATTGTGGTCAGGTCCCATAACCTTTGAACAATTTGTTACCTTTTTTGAAGGGACAATTTTTTTGGTCATGAGTGTATTCCCCAAATGAAAGTTCCACTGCACTGCCACATAAAGAACACCTTTATTCAGGGAACTCTTTTTCTAATTGTTTGGTTATCCCCTAAGCAAATGGAATTTCCACTGTTTGTATCTGTTATGTGTACTTTTAAGGAAGGGAATACTTTTTCTAGTCCAGTGGGTGTCCCTTGAATGAGCTGCAAGTAAAATTGTGCAACAGTTTAAATCAAATTGAGCTAAGCTGATGGATGAATAGGCCTAGGTTTTGTCTTGAAGGGGCTTTTGTGGAATACGTTCATGCAGAATTTTAAATTTTCCTTTATTTTTTTTAATGTGTCAAGATTGGGATTTGGGAACTTGTCTCAAGAATGAATGCAAAAGGAAGCAGCTTAGAATGCCTCATTCACTGAGAAGCTGGATTGACCTGCGAGCAACATATAGAGTAAGCTGTAACAAAAAAATCGGCAATTGGTGGATAGTAATAATTTGCTTGTGACTGAGATATTTCAGGAAGTATTGTTGCAATATCCCACAGACGCGACCTGATTAGAACTTCACACCAGGGAAGAGATTCTAGCAAGGCACTCAACTGGTTACTCACCTTTTCCCTTGCTTCAGGAAGTTTGTTTGTTTTTTTGTTTGTTTGTTTGTTTTTTGTCTGTTTGTTTGTTTGTTTGTTTGTTTGTTTGTTTTTTAGTTGTTGGCTTCTTTTGACATTCTCCTATGTTCTGACCAGCTTTTGTAGTTGTTTTCAATTGTTTTTTTTGTTTTTTTTACGACACTCAATCGGAAAGTGCACCATCCTCTCTCATACTGATTCAATCTTCTGTATACACTTAACCAAAAAATTTTTACTAATTTTGGACAGAATTTTTACTGTCGTAAGCCTCAGGGATTGGCAGGTGCTCTTCAAGATCTGGGACTCAAATTTTCTGGTAGAGAACATTCAGGTAATTATCATCAACCCAGTTTCCCTTTCAGTTAGTTATCGTAAACCTTTCACCTGTAACCTTGTTCACGAAAAAATAGCTACAAATATTTCGCTTGCGTAAGCGGACTGGTGGTAAATATCGGTACTCTAAAAGAGATGTTTCACAAAACTGATTTTTAAAAAGTTCTACCATAACGTGAACAGAAGAAGTTTAACGAGTCGCAGAATTTTTAGCCCTTGTCGAAAACACAGTAGATCGAGACTCAAATAGCAAAAGAGATACGTTTTGTGCAAACACGTCAGCAACCTCTTTCTTTCTAGGAAAACTTACAGCCCTTTCTGAATCTTCACAATAATATCTCGATTAGCTGAAAATGTCAGTGTGATCTGAAAGAAGCTACACCAGTGACTGGACTTCAATGAAGAGTCCCTAAGGAGAGGGGACTAAATATGTAGAGAACGCAGATAAGCTTGTTAATCAAGATCGATGTTAATTTCCTGTTTTGTTTTGTTTTTCTTTCTTTTTTCTTTATTTTTTTTTCCAGGCTTGGATGATGCCCGTAATACAGCTCGGGTTGCTTGGAGAATGATCTCTGATGGACGTATTATGCAGATAACAAAGAGCCTGGACGGGGTGTGTACCTAGTGTGTAGTAATTATTTCACACGCGCATGGACGATATGACATACGTTATCAAATGCCGTTTCAGATGATACCGGATTTATTTGACTTTGACAGTAAAGGACTTTGTGTTCTCTAGGCCTCCCTCCGTTTTGATCGGTACAAACAAAGGGGTGACTAAATCAAGCTCAAAGGAAGGAATGAGACTCTCGAAAAACACCTACATTGCATCCATTTTGACAGTGACTGGTCTGGTTCTTATATTAGAACTGAAAGAAATCGTTCTTAAGATTTTGTAGAACGGGAGAGGTGCTGGCTTCATTCTATGGGAAAAAGAGCTCTGTGGGTGTCTCTTCAACTCAGACCTCAACGGAGATTCACTTGGAATGAGGCATAAATGATCTAGTAGTATTGCGTCTTATTTATTTATTTATTTATTTTATTTTTTGCGTTACGTCTGTCGGTTACACGACTTGGGACCCGGGTATTTCTCGTCAAGACTTTAAGCCAGTTTTGGGCCAACGATAAGTCCTTGTTTGGCAAAACCGCGATAAAGCCCTCTTCAGTTCAGTTGAGTGTTTTATCTTAAAGTCGTTTAGAAATCTCCGATGTTAAAATCGAGTCAGTGAACTTGTTTAAAGGCGGTTTGTTCCCGTACAATGTAAGTTATCGAATTCAAAAATAAATATTGCTCATTTTATTGAAGTTTGCGTCTTCCTTTTTGTCTCCCTTGCTCGTTATTTATCTCTTCTTCAAAGAGGAAACCAATCCACGTCCTTACTCGCCAATGAAATGTTTTATATGAGGCACATTCTGCATCTCACATTAATATAGATAACAAGCTACAACCAATCACTGAAAATGCTTCTTACATTGCAATAAAACGAACACTTTGCGTATTATAATGTTCATGTTATATTTATTAATAGAAGGTAGAAGAGGCTTCAATTAAGAGAGCCCTAATACAGACTCTTTGGTGAGATTGATCAGTCTAAGCCTTTTATCATGATAACCATTTTAATTTTCCCAGAAAGAAGAATTTATAGCTTGGAGAAAAGGGTGGGAAACAGGCCAGAAATTATGAAAAGGAAGTTTAATGAACCTTGTATTTGTTATGTTTTTCAGGTGTTGGAAAAACTTTGCGAGACCGTAACTCAGGCTGGTCTCTTGAAAACTGATTTAGTGGTCAAAGATGACATGAAACCCACAACCAAAACTTGTCTCAAGCTTTGCCATGATGGCAAAGAGAATTCTTCCACAGCGGCAAGTACTCGCAAGCCGCAAGTTCAACAATGTACACTTTCAGAGAGTAAGATATACAAAAGTTTACACGTTTCCTCAGAGCAGGCGGAGAGTCAAAGTGGAGAAGAAAGTACTGGGCTCTGTACGCAACGTGATATTAATGCGAACAAAGAAGTTACGGTTGATTATTCACTTAGAAAGGTGACGATCGCAGGGAAAGATCACACTGCGGAAATTGAAGAAAACGAAGCTAAAAATGGAAGGAATGCAAGCCTTGGGTCTCCTCTTACTTGTCTCAAAAGGAGAGCGCCACAAGACATTGTGGGATTAGCTTATGTACATGCTCGCCCGATAACCAGTGAGAGCTCCGAAAACACTTTTAAGAGACTTATTACTCCTTTAACAAGCTTGTCAAGTTTAACCAAAAGAGCGAGAGGCAGTTTTGGAGAATTTAATAGTGAGACACCAAAATCGTCAACGCCGGGGCTTCTGTTAAAGAGAGGACTGGTGAAACAAACTCTTAGTGTCAAGCATGACACAGCACTGGAACTTAAGAATCAACGAACATCTCATGGAGCTAAACAAAGTGATAGCTCTAAAACGTGTAAACCAGTAAATATTGCAATGAACGCTGTAACTACACCGTCGCTCAAGGTCTCTGCAAATCAAGCTTTTCTCCAAGAAAAGAACTTAAAGAAACAAAACTTGAACAACAAGAACTGTCCCTTCACACGTCCATTTTATACACCGTATAGCAATCGCAAGGAAAATTATTACCACTTCACCCCTTCCTCGGTTAAGACCAAGCTGAATTCCTCTGTCACCCCACCCATAGCTTGTTTCAATGGAGGTGGTGTTACTCCACCGTTGTGTCAGTGCGGTCGCCGCACTCGTCGAAGATCTGTCGTTAATCCGGGACCTAATCAAGGCAGAGCTTTCTTTGCGTGTTCGTCAAGTCGTGGTCAATTAGGTCTGGGAACAAATTCTACTGACAAAAAGGCTAAAAGGGGGTGTAGCTTTTTTCGTTGGGAGGTGAATATGTAGCTTCTAGCAGTCGAAGAGGAGCGTAGAACATGTCGAAAAACTAAGACATTTGAAATAAATTGAAAGCTGTGCTTCCTTTTTTGTACGTTTGATCAAGGGTTGTGTAGCCGGGACGCAGGGTTTTTACCACTCCAACACGTACGACCTTTGAAAAAGGTTTCCTCACTTAAATGAAATGATCATTGTGATGTTGTACTCAAAACTTTAACCGATCTCTCTAATTTCACTTTCTCATGCTGAACGCCTCCTTTGCAGCGAACTTCACATACAAAATCCTTCCAGAGCCCAGAGTATGCTATTGGTTTTTGTTAATTCCCTTACAAAATATTTACCTATCGCATGCAACATCTTACGCCGGAAAACTGGTACGCCTCCTTGCTTTTTATTTTAATATATATTTCTCTTTCATTTTTTCCCTCAAGTTCCTTTACATGCATGAAAATCAATTTTAATGAGAAAATATAGCCATAAAATAATACAACTGATCATAAGAAAGAGCAACGACAAAAGTATTGAGCTTCTGTCGATACAAATTTACACCAGCCTCGCTCTCAAGGCGAGTTTATTCTCAAGCCTGAATTTGCACGTGAAATCTCTCAACTCATTTCCATTTTACGGTTCCTCGCGGTGAAAACTGTTTTACTTCGCAGGAAAGGAAAGAGCAAGAAAAACTCGCCAGTTAATCAATTCTTCTGTCCCAAAGCTCTCAGAAATATTAAGAGACTTTGCTACTTTTCTGAGAGACTTGACCTGTACCAACAGTCTTTCTATTTCAATACAGAACATAAGGTAAGATAGCTGTGAGTTTAGCTGGTAACCTTGTTCAGTACGACGCATTCGACGAATTATGGAGAATTGTGAACTGATAGTTAGAATTTTTCCGGACTTGTGTCCCCAACAAGAAATTCCACTCAAATCCTCGTTTAATAGCGATAAAAGGTATCTGATAACATGCATATTGAAGGCAAAGACTTGTCAATAAATTGCATCAGTCCACCGAACCCGAGTAGTGGCATGGTGGGACCGTCGTCGCCTGGCGGTAAATTCAAACCGAACTTGTGAAGGAAACTGACTGATAAGACTGATTCTCGTTGAGTTTAACGTGTAAAATTTCTTGCATGGACGAGGTTGGCAGGCAGAAAACATCTGAATTGTTCTCAAAGAGCGTTCGTTTAATTCATCAGTCAATGCTCCTGCATGCTTGAATTATTAATTTCGTAACGCAGGTATTATCATTAGCAATAGAAAGTAGTTTAAGAATACTTTCTCTTAGCCTCATGAAATAACGGCGTTGTTTCTTTCCCTTGCAAATGAAGTAATATGGACGAGGCATCATAAATCAAGCATGGGAGTGACCTGGAACTGAATGAAAGAAAGAGAAAAGGAAAGAAATAAGAAAAGGTAAGCTTTGGAAACCAATTCTTTGTAATAGGTTTATAATCTGTACATGTGACTGCTATTGGCAAGAGTACCTTTAATTTAACCCCATACATTAATAATGCATTCAGACTGGTAGACTTTGTTTTTAAAGTTATGTCGTGAAAGACAAAGAAGTGGAATGCATAATTAATGTACGAGGTTATATGGTACTCTTTCCCTGCTATTTTTATAATATGCACAAGACCGTCTTTAATCAATCAGACCAAAAGCCAAAACTTTTGAGTTGAGTAATGCGCTGCATGTGTCGGCAAAATAAATTAATATAAATAATATGCAAATTACGCCTCAGACACGACTTCCGGGCACAAAGCTATGTCGCCGGCAAAGAATGATCGGAATGTACGCGAACTTGTCCCTGCGTTTTTTGCG